CAGCTTATCATTGGAATCTTGTCAGCCCATACTCTTACTCGATATGACACGGCTACATGCTACTACAGCTTTGGAAGTGGTGAGAGCTTGTATTCTCTCTCTCAGTTGTCGCCTTGGACGCCATCTTGAATTTCGCAAAACGCTCAAGGGTGACCGGAGTTCACCCGGCAGATTCTGAAAGAGGACACCATAGGCTACTAAAACCAATCCTAAAAAAAAACTTTATAGACAATTTCCAGATTCACTCGAAATATTGAGGTTTGACGACCGGACTAACTGCTTTGATACCGAATAAGCGGGTTTGATGTGAGTTCTGGCGTCTTAGAGAACTAAGAATAAGCGGGCTGAGAACTAGTTTGTTTTTGTAATACTGACTGACTGGACTGGAATCCAATCTGGCGAGTGAAATTCTATCAGGCCCCGAGATCACAAAGCATTCTCAGACTTATGTTGAGAATTTGCTCAACTTTCAATCACTGTTTATGAGAAATATCTTTGATGCAGAAACACAAAACTTAGCAGTTTCTTATTGATGTATCTGATACATTAAAACAACAAAAGTTTTATAAAGGGCTATATTAGTTAAAATGAGGTGAACAAGTTTGAGTAAATTCTCAACTTAAGTCTGATAATGCTTTGTGAACTCGGGGCCTGCACTGTACATGCACATGAGCATTAGGTGTGACCGAAATGTCCAACTGGTGAAGCTGAGCAGCCTGATTGATTACATTCCATCCCTTGGTGGTGAGCTTGACAACATCCCCACCATTATTTAGGTTATTGCCACAAATTATGCACGTATCCATGGCGAAATACGACTCTTTTCACAAAATTAGCAAAAGAAAGTTTCAAATATATGGGGAAACCCAGACTGGATTCCAAGCCAATCACCAGATTGGATTCCAGTCCAGTCAGTCAGTGTCACAAAAACAAACTAGGTCACAGCCCGCTTATTTTGAGTTCTCTAAGACATCAGAACTCACGTCAAACCCGCTTATTCAGTATCAAAGCAGTGTTTTGACGTCATGACGTCATTGTGGCGTCAGGGCGTCACACCATGACCTGCTGGCGTTGTGATAATTTTATTTTCCGATTCGTTGATATCATTTTTGTATCTAATGATAATACATTTATTGCTCTAAAACGAGCCGTTTCCAAGATATGGAGGCCAGAAAGTCCAATTGGCGGCCATTTTGGATTTATGCTAATTATGAAAAACGCTACAGGGTTTCAGCGGATAATTTTGAGTTGGGAGTCCTTTAGACATCCCTTTACCATATTCCAGTGAAAGAAATTCTTTTGCAATTTGTTCTCGGTAGTTTTTTTATTTCTCTCCGTCTATAGGTATAGAGTGGGACGTCGGAACCAAAGCCACACAAATGAGACTATATTGAAGTACTTTCATTATTGCTTTATTCTCGGATAGGGATTGCAGGAAAACGCGTTAACTTTCATATATTGTCTGGAGAGATATGTCCCATATATTCGCCGATGACGCGCTTAGCTGGAGTATAATTAGTTTTATTTTCGGCCATTTCTGCCCCCTTTCCCCCGATATCTCGAGAACCGGTGGTCACGGAATTTGATTTCAAATCTAAACTGAACTAATTTCTTGTTGCCTTTCTCAAGTATAATTGTCGGCGTGTTCTTGTGGTATACTTAGTTGTTCACTTTACTGTAGTATAGTTGTTGAATTGTTGTTGTATAGGGTTTTAAAAATAAAAAATAAATAAAACTATGCATATGGATATTTTAAAATGATAAAAGTCTGACATTTTGTAATATAGAACCGGTTGGGCAAATAAATGTTGAACGAATGACAACAGCAATACTTTTATCTATATTCTTGAGTTATCAATCAAATATATATTTTACAGTTGACTACGGACAGCTATTTACGCGGATCGGATTTGGTTTTGTGGTAGTGATCATTCTTATATTTTTTATAATATGGTAAGAATTATATAGTTATACAGTTGCTTGAAGTATGGTGAGCCACAATGGTTCAGTGAGTAGGACGTTGGATCGCTAGCCTGCGGTCCCGTGTCCGTTCATCGGGATTTTCCTTCACGGTTCCCCCTTGTCAGTGATGTTGGACGGAGGGCCTGGGTAGAGACAACGTATAGTCATTCGGATGGGACGAAAACCCGGGTAAAATTTTCCCATAGGACACTGTATGGCGTATACCCGTTTTCATTATCCCAGTCGGAGCAGAACAGCGGGACGTTAAACCCAATTTCATTTCATTTTGCGTTAAGATATTGCTATTTAGAAGCATTGCCAACATATTCCATTTTGCGGTAATATGTCGACATAGCTCATGGCGATCAATGGAAAATGTTGACAAAACTTCAGAATAGCAATATCATAACGCAAACGTGCGCATTGGCGTGCACCTAATGGTTCCCTTGACAGTTGATATTCGACACGAGAATAGGCCATAGCACCGTTGTCCGGGCAAAATATCACTCATAGCAAACTGTATTGCGTATGTCCGTTTTTATTAGCCTAGTCGGAGCAGACAGTGGGAAGACGTTAAACTCCATTTCATTTCATTTTGATCGTGCTATTGGCCCGTATACGCTTTCATACTATGCTAAGTCATGGTTCGATGTATCGTGGAGTCTATTTCATTGGACTGACAGAAATATAAACTTGGTGGTGATAGGCGCACCGTTATTTGAACACATACTTTAATAACTTACTTTAATTTCTTTATTTAATCATTCAGAGATTGGCAACATGACAGAAATAACACAGTTATATGGACACTATTCACTGGGGTTTTTATCCAACGGCACGGCATTAAATCAATCAGAGATTGGCAATATAACAGAAATAACATAGTTATATGGGACAATAATCACTGGTTTATTATACACAAGCACGACGTTTTGATCTAAGCAAAAATGCAAAATATTTAAAATAAACTAGTGTTTAACTCCAATACAAGGGGGAGAAATGGGGTTTAACGTCCACTCGACACAAACTAGGTAATTTCGGGTCTAACATATGATTCTGCTTTATTTCAGTAATTCGCTTGCGAGTAGGGATCTGTAGCAGTGGGTGGAAACCGGGGGCCCTGGAGAAAACCCACGAGGTTGGACAGGCGATCCTTCTCCTTGTCACGGACAACCGGGGAAGCAAAACCATGCCAGTTGGGCTAATCTAGTCCAAGAATTCACGCCCGGATTCAAAACCCTCACAGCCACACCCACCATCAGAAACCCGACAGACTTACATTCTGATGATACCAGATATACATGCATTGATACTATATAGGAGAGAATTGGTACATTAGTCAGCTAGGCTGGCTCCCTGGGCTCCTGGTCTATACGGTAGTCAAATCATGACGACGAAAACACAACACCAATATTCAATGTTTTAGCTGGCAGTTGGACTCGTGTAATCCCGTTTCATATAATTATAAATGTTACCGACCAAGTACAATACAAATAATATACAATATTTTAATTATCAGGTTTATAAGACGAAAGAGAAATACCAATATCTCCACATCAGACCAAAATGAACCAAGTGTTCATTATGAAAGTACAGCCGGGGTACCGAGTGATGTCCCTCACCAGTACACCTCACTTAGTAACACGGGCGAATACATTACAGTGTTTTAAAGGTTTATTGATGATAAGGACACATTATTCAAGAGCTAAATCTGCCTAATGCAGATCTTTCGTTTGGCCTCAAATGTTATATACGTCATTAATTAGACATTTACCTGCTCTCTAGACCATCGGGTGGTTTTGATTTTCAGTGGATTTAAACACGATTACCAGTTACTGATTTAATAAAAAAAATGGATAATCGAGGCATTGTTTATCATCGTAAAAACGTTAGCAATGGCAATCGAGACTACACTGTTCCTCAGAATGATGTAATTAGACTGAAAATTTCAAAATATTCCCTTTAAATGTTCCATTTTGTAATTATTATTAGCGAGAATTGTGAGTTCTTTATGTTGTAAAGTATCATGGTTTCTGGGTACACTACTAGATGCAGTTGTGGATTGGGAGGGGTGGTGAATTACCCCCAAAAAGAATTTGAAAAAGAAAAACAGATAAATACTATTTGAGACATGTGACAGACTTAAAACAGACAAATTTTATTCTGTAAAGTCATTGTAATTATTTGTGATAAATTAGTCTATATTAATATTCCTTTCAAATTTTATTCTGTAAAGTCATTGTAATTATTTGTGATAAATTAGTCTATATTAATATTCTTTGTAAATTAACATTCAACTGGTTGGCACTGAATAAGTTGGGTGGGGGTCTCGATTCGTGTTTAATTGGTTTATTTGTGTGATAAATTAGTCAAAATAATTAGTCTGCTATTTGTTTTCTGCATGTATTAATATTGTTTGTAAATTAAAATTGAAATCTTATATTAATGCATTGTCTCATTCCAGCGCATTGCACTGAATAGGGACGGGGGGGGGGTCTAGCTTTTTTATACAGTGTATACATGTAGTAATGTGTATAATATACTTGTCGCAGTTGGGGACGAGGGGTGTCTACATTGAATACAGTGCATTAACGTGTATACACTTGTTTCATTACACCGCATTGCACTGAAGGGTGGAGGCGGAGGAATCGTGACTAGCGATTCAATACAGTGTATACATGTATTAATGTGTATATACTTGTTTTATTACAACGTATTGCACTGAATGGTGGAGGGGTGACTAGAGTTTTAATACAGTGAATACAGTGCATTAATCACTGGATGGGGGGGGGGGGGGCAGGGGGTAACTAGAGTATTAATACAGTGCATTAATGTATATTCACCTGTCACATTACAACTTACTGCACTGGATAGGGGGTAACTAGAATTTTAATACATTGAATACAGTGCATTAATGTGTATACACCTGTCGCATTACAGCACTGGATACACATACGACGAATACACGTGAGAAGTTAGGTGCATATAATGATAATAAGAATAATAATATTAAAAAAAAACAAACTTTATTTAATGAGGCAACTTATTTAGTTTGCAAAAAAACCCAATCTTCCAGGAGTCCCTCCTAAGCTCCAAAGACATATATACATGTAATATCAGGATAAATTCAAAATCATTTTGAAATGCAATAATATTTTAAAGTGAGAAATTTGGGAAGTCACTCGTAAACTACAAAACATATATACTATACAAGTAAAATATAGGAAGAACACTATAAGTACACACCAAATAAGATAGAATGCAGTTGCAAATTAAAAATACACGAAAAATAATAAGTATGTCATCAGTTGAATATTATGGTTTCTGCAGTGCTCAATATAAATGAGTTTTCAGTTTAATCTTAAAATTTTCAACATTTTTACACATCTTTATATAAAAAGGCAGATTGTTCCATAAAAGAAATGCAGAATAATGAAAAGTGCGTTTCATGGATTCCGGTCTGCATTTCGGAAGGAGTAGGGATTTACTGGTCTGTGAACGGAGCAAGATATCAGTTTTGGAAACAAGAGATTTGTCAATGATATAGGAGTTTAGATACAGTGGAGTATTAAATGTAATAATTTCGAATGATAAGGCAATTTTATTATCAAGAATCCTCTATGTAAGGGTAAGCCAACCGAGTTTAGTAAATAAAAAGGTGCACGGAGTTTCAATTGTTGCATCAAGCGTAATTCTTGCTGCCCTATTTTGTTCGTTATTGGCGGATCCCGAATAACGAGCCAGCACCGTATTTGTGATTCGCGAATCCCGAATCCCGAATAGCGTGCCAACTTCACGTTGCCTTTTCAATTAAGGTCTTGGTCAATTTGAATTCCATGTAATTTTGCGGTAGTAACCGTCTCAATTGTCTCACCATGAAGTGATAAAGTTAGATTTTTCTGATTTTTTTTGTGTTTTCTGAAATCAGCATTGATTTTGTTTTTGAACGATTGATTGATACAAATGTACATTTACTTAATTCTTCTGTATTTTAGACAGCTGATTGTTTTCTATAATAAACTAGATATCGGTATTGGTATTTTAGACAGCTGATTGTTTTCTGTAATAGATATCGTATTTTCTAATGTCTATTGTATGATTAGTAGTTTCGTGGATAGTACAGAATTTGAGAACAGAATACACAATTAGAGAGAGCCAAAATACCGTAGTAAAGTAAAACAAGTTACAACAGCTCCGATTAAAAACCATAACAAACCATAACGCTGAAAAACACAAGTTATATTAAATATACAGAAAGGCCAGTCTTGTTGTCATCATACTTCTGAGATGATGGATGTTACCTTTCCTCTATAGAGAATAGGAAAGTTTAGGCTAAACAAAAACAAAAACGGACTTCCTTTAGGTTTAAATATTATGCATTGTGTAAGAACTAAATCTGCCTTCACATGTTTCATAAATTATTAATTAGACAAGTCCATAATCAACTATCTATTATAGCAAGAACAGCCAGCTGTTTATCGAAATCTCATTTATAGTATGCATTTTTAATGAAAAAAATATAAATACCTCGGATTTCAAAGGTACATTTTGTAACCAATTCAAGGTGGCCAAAGCACACATTTCTATATTGTGGGCGTCAAGTGAAGATGTGTCAGTGAAGGGATTATCGGGATCAAGAACATACCTTGTTTTAGAGACGTCACGTGACCTGAACAGATGCAAAGAAACGCATGTAATTATTTCTAGCCCTAATTAAACGATAGCCGTTCTGTGGTGAAAGGATTAACTGGATCTAGGGCAAACGTTGTTTTGACCTAAACAGATACAAAGGAGCATATTATTCTTCAGTATGCAAAGGTACAAAACTGTTACCTGTATCTTGAGGTAGCTCTTAATAAGATAATAGTAAGAGGGGTGGGGTAGTTGTGGTGGAGGTTGTTAATGATGATATTAGAGACTTTTGGCAAGCGTAAATTCTTGGTCCGTATCGCGTATCCGTATGGATTTTGCGTGTGACGTCATCAATGTGTGTGTGTATTTCTCATGCGTGATACGGGATACGGCAGCACGTATCGAACAGCTTTCATACGAAAAAGGTCCGTATAACATTGTTGTCTTTTTACTGTCTTTTTTGCTACTTTTAGACGCTGAAACGTTGTATCATAGCGTTTTTATGAATCTCTGTGTATCCTAGAACACGAAGGTGTATATTTGATGTGATTTAACAATGATAAAGACTGGAATTTAATCATTGGTTTTGATGGGGTTTTGTCGGGATTTTCATACTTTTCCTGTCTGTCTGCATGCTGGTTGATCTACGTGCTAAATATAGGGAGGTGGGACAAATCTAAACTTTCTGAAATGATACATAAGTGAAACCAAAGTCGAAAATAATTTTTTTTATAGCTCAGTGACTATCGAGCGACTTCACTCGCACCGAGAAATTGTAGGCTAGACACAAGACTAGTACTGATGGTGATCTTGGTTGATATCTGTCATCATACTGTAATAGAACTAAGCCCAGCTTAGCGATACAAACGTACGCGACGCGAAAATCTGCCAAAACTCAAAAAACTGCATTGACGCAACGTATCACGTATACTATACGGATACGTGATACGGATGTAAAAATTCCGCCTGCCAAAAGTCTCTATTATTAAAAGGGGATATTTTTTCCGGACAGCGCTGCTATGGCCTACTCTTATATCAAATTCCAGTTGCAAAGGGATCTTTATAGTGCACGCCAATGTGTACGCGTTACCTCGATTTTTCGTTCCATTCGACCACTGCAAGGGCAAACCACGCCGGCAAATCTCTGTGAAATTTCTCGGTTTACACCGGGAGCATATCCGTGCGTCCCGGATAGAGAGCCAGCTTCTTATTCACTTATAGCCCCTGGAGAATATCAGATGATAAAACGTCTCTGTTAAGATGATACTATAACGTGTTAATTATAATTCAGCTTACCAATTATTATCCGTGTTATAGATTCCAGGTATTGTGTTCTGCAGTTCTCCATAGGACTTAAACAACTCCATAGCTTTATAAAAACCAGTTTTCATATAAAAGTCAGTTGTACTATTCAGATGTTCGTCATAAATATACAGCCCCATTACCTCACAACAATACGACGCCATGTTTAGCCTATTAGTCTGAAATAATTGTCAAATATTCCATGTTACTATTGTTTATGTACCTATGTGAAATTATGAACTGATACCAGGAGTATTAAAAGAATACATGTTACTTATAAAAAAACTCTAGCGAGCCGTGAGAGTCATTGTTACTTATATAAACTCTAGCGTGTTGAGGACGTCATTGTTACTTATATGAACTCGCGCGAGTTGTGGACGTCACTGTTACTTCCATAAACACTACCAAATGACAGCAGCTACGTATATAAACTCTAGCGTGTTGCGGAAGTCATTATTACTTCCACGGTAAAGTATTTATTATACATAGCAAATGTACTATATAAATTATTTATGATATAGAGTATTTATGTGTATTATATAATTTGTATTATATAAAGTAATGTTATGCTCAGTATGTGTATCATATAAAGTAATGTTATGCTCAGTATGTGTATCATATAAAGTAATGTTATGCTCAGTGTGTGTATCATATAAAGTAAAGTATTATATAAAGCTATATATAAAGTATTATATATTTATAGAGAGAGAAATGGGGTTTAACGTCCACTCGACACAAACTAGGTCATTTCGGGACTAACATATGGTTTAATTTTATTTACATAATTCGCTTGCGCGTAGGGGTCTTTAGCAGTGGGAGGAAACCGGAGGACCCGGAGAAAACCCACGAGGTTGGACAGGCGACCCTACTCCTTGTCACGTACAACCGGGGATTCGAAACCACGCCAGTCGACTCAGTGACAGACTTTATGATACAGCGCGCGCACGCTTACCATTCAGCCATACAACCCCCCAAGTATTATATAAAGTATGTATCAAGTATTATATATAAAGTATTGTATAGAGCTATATATAGAGTATTATATAAAGTATGTATCAAGTATTATATATAAAGTATTGTATAGAGCTATATATAGAGTATTATATAAAGTATGTATCAAGTATTATATATAAAAGTAATATATAAGAGTATTATATCAAGTAGTATATAAAGTAATATATACAGTATTATATATAAAGTATTAGCATTACCTTGTACCAGTATTTAAGTAAACGAATCAAGTCTTTAACTTTAGCTGGTTTTGGTCGAATCATTGCCAGTTGTTCTTTACAGAAACAAACGGAGTAGTGGCTCCAGACATCACTTGATTTATTTTTCACTTCTTGGCATACAGCCAACATATTCCCACCTGTTGTAATATAAATAAATATATAATAACGATGTCCTCTATTTTCATTTGTTGTAATATAAAACATTGTATAGAATAAAGGTGAGCGATACTCGGTCAATATACTAGATATCCAAGATATTCATTCACATTCCTTTACTCTGAGAGAAGTTATGACTGGTTGAAGATACAGCGTAGATAGTTCATTATCGTAGCAACGGTACTTGATAATCCATTTTAATCGCGAACATCCGGTGGCCTAGCTAGTTGATAATATGCTTATCATGTTAATAAATGTCTAGAGAGTTGATTATGGGTGTAATATGTGAATACAGGTTTAATTAAAAACGTTTGAAGCATCGATAACTCATATCTTCTTTAGATATTCCCACATGGAAATTATGTCGTATATTGGTGTTACCTTCGTCCGTCCGTCGTTCACAATTTTTTATTAAGAATCCACAATGTACATTTATCATCAGATCTTTATATATATGTTACAGTTTCTGTTAATTGTTTTATTGTACAGAACTTATGGGGACTCGAACTACAAAAGTTTATAATGAAAGTGATAGGCCTTATTTAAATTAGTGACATGAAGATGTCTATATCGTCTAGAGTTATTGCCCTTGTTCCATTTTGCAGAACCTTGTGAACGCCCTGGTGAAAATATTTATAATCGGACATGGTATAATTTTGTATGTATTCTTTAAAGAAACAAAACGATGAAGTCTATTAAAAATCAATAATTCCAGTTACGTATGAGTTATGGCCCTTTTTTCACATTGTAAACTATTGTAAATACTCGAACAACAATAGCTATCATGCGATGTGTATGGAATTGATATGCATTATTAGAATTAGTGAAATGACGACGATGATTACTTGTAGAGTTATGGCCCTTGTGAATACTCATACAACAATAGCTATCATCCGATGTGTATCGAATTGATATGCATTATTAAAATTAGTGGAATGAAGACGCTAGAGTTATTACCCTTGTTTCACATTATAGAATTCTGTGAACGCCCTAACAACAAAATTTACAATCCGATCTGTCATTGATATGTCATTTGTTGATTAGTAAAACAAAGAAGCCTAAAATTTCAGCACTTTCTAAAAAAATACCTTTTGAGTTATGACGCTTGTTTCACTTTGTAGAATCTTTTGAACACTCCAATAACAATAGATGTCAACAATGATATTAACTGTTCATATAAATGAAATGTGGACTTAGCTGTGGACGTATGTTTGTTTGCCTAGCTACCTATGCAATGTTCTGTTCTGCTGTGGACCTATGTTTGTTTGCCTAGCTACCTATATGTAATGTTATCGAAGAAATAGAATCGTGGCATCACATAAAAAAATCTAGCGACTGGCATATTATAACATCTAACCTACTTTCTGGCATTAGGAATTACGAGTAAGTCAGCTCTTTGTCTTACCATGTCTGGCGACTACATCTATTGCAGGTAGAACGTCCACTTCAACGGGCTCACTTCTACCCTAGTACTGGACGTATACATTAAACTTGATGAAATGTTCGTTACATTTTAACACCTTTATGGTGTCAATCCATTCGGGTTTGGACGAAAATGGCCAACTGAACCATCCTGGGTTGGGATTACACATATATTTCAATATATCACTAATAATTTGAGGTTTATCTGCAATCAAACTCTCAATATCCTTATAACCATTGAAGAAAACTACCATATCAGCATCAGCATCACTCTGAACAGATGTTTCCTTACCCAACGAACCACTCTACAAGCAAATAAAACATTTAAGCTGATTTCTTAAAATGATCAGAGATACAATTACTTGAGATATGTCTAAATCAAGGGAGATAATCAATACACTAGCATTCCGATTAAAATTACTACTGTTACCGAAGACATCATTATTACATTTTACAACCACTTGATCACGTACTGAGAAGAATGGGAGTGTATTTAATTCTACCTAAATGTTTAGTGGCTCGACTACATATAATCATGACTTTAACATGGACTACCTAGAAATGACTGGTCTGTATCCAAACAAAATAGAGTTGTGTCCCTTCATATACTTGTATAGAACCATAATGTCATTAATTAGATAGACTCGTGATCGGGTGGATGAACAGTTAAGACTACTAACAATACTTGTATTATTTTCATTATATTTACCTTGACGACTTCCCGAATACTATAACCAGGCATCTTGTGTAAATATCGAACTAATTCATCGAGCGTTTGATTAACACGATCTTTAAAATCATTTGTTGGCCGGATCTTTCTATCTATAAACTTCTCCAAACTTTCTCCTCGTTCATAACCTCGCAGGTAACTAATCATCTAAATATAGAAATTTATACCAAATTAATAAGTGTTCCGACAATCTGAATAAATTACAGATCTCTCATTCGTTTTGTTTTTATACTATCGATGGGGGGGGGGCGATGTCAGGGGTCATAAGATCTGACTGGTTGTAGTGGAGGGAGATAGGGACGTCAGGGACTATAAGATTTGACTGGTTGTAGTAGAAGCGGGGGCGTCAGGGATCATAAGAATTGACTGGTTGTAGTGGGAAGGGAACGTCATGGGTCATATCTTGAAACGTCAACACCCCAGCTATTAAAATATACAAATAATACACTGAAAATTTTCGTAGCCACCTCATATTTCAGATTAATATAAAAATAATACATGATAAGTTTCCTAACCACCTCATATTCCGCTTCATATAAAAATAATACCCTGAAAAGTTTCGTAAGCAACCCATATTTCATCTTAATATAAAGAAAATACAGTACCCTGAAGAATTTCGTAGCCATCTCATATTTCCATTAAATATGAAAACATAACAATAATGTCCTAGCCACCCTATGTGTCATTTAAACATAAAAAATAATGCAAAATGATTAATCCCATATTTCAGTTAAAGAAAAAACAATAAATAATGAAACGTTTCCCAGTTATCAGATTGAACAGTTTCCTACACCCCCGCCCCACCCCTTTTTTATTACAAAAGGGAACATAATGGAACTATTTCAGTATGACAAATAATGGAATCTTTGCATGGTGGTCGTTCGGACGATTTGATATTTTCCAGGGGCGGGTTTTAAGGTGGCTGCACACCAAATGTCAGTCAATTTGCTTAACAACTTTTTATTTTTAATTTACAGCTATTTTATGTTTGATCGTCTGTACATACGATGTCCCAGATCACGTCATCTTGCTTATTGTATTCGTATACTCGATTATCAAGACACTAAGACTGCTTCCCGCATACTAAGTTGATCCGTTAACACCACCCATCTGATTTCATTTCTAGTATGACAGTCTGAAAACATTTTGGAAACGGACTAAACGTGATCTAAAAAGACATCGCAATAACGGACTGTCATACCAACGGACTCTTTGAATAACGGACTGTCACACCAACTGACATTAGGTATAACGGACTGTCACACCAACAGACATTCGGAATAACGGGTTGTCAGATGCGGGTGTCTGTCTCAAGAAAAAGGAGTACGTTTGATTATAGAACTGTCGTACTAATATACAGTATGATCGGAATAATCGATTGTCAGGTTTTTGGGCCACGTAATCTATCCAGCCAGACGATCATCGAATAAACAGAACATGAGTAAAATAAATGGCGGGGGTAGTAAAGCACCGATCGGAAACCCCTACCAAAATCATTGTAATTTTTATGAACTAGAGACAGTGTAATTTCAAGATAGCCCAGTATGACGAGTGTCTTGATAATCAAGTCTAAATAGTAAATAAGCAAAGTGGCGTCGTCGTGGGAGTCTTTACTACCTATCTAAAGTAAAAGATACGTAAAATGAGAAGCTATTGATCCAATCAACTGAAATCTGGTGTGCGGCCATCATTCGCCACCCATAATATCCCAAAATACAAATCTATATATACAACAATGGGACGTGGCAAAGAGAAGGAATTAACAGCCAAGAACTGGCCTATTCACCCTTTTCTTGTTGTCGACTATACCCGTATTCGTATTACACGCGTCGATACATTGCGGCACTCAAAGCTGATTTTAACGTATATAGTCAACCTACCTTGTCAATTACGTTAAATATCACTGACAATTACTGGCGTCTACGTGTAGTTTTAAGAAATTAAACTGAAACTTAAAATAGATTTCTGGGAAAACCACACTGTTAAATTTCTATATTGATTTTTAACGTTAGTCCAATTACAACGAACTGACTATGTACTGTTTAATGGGGTGTGTTCCCACTTAGCCGGCAGACTGTTAATCCTTTGATTGATCTTAAAACTATAGTCTGTTTAAAAGTAGTCACTCAAGAACTGTTCACTAGTGTTCAGCGTTAATGAGTTCTTAATCCCTCTTAATAAAATTTATTAACGAACTAATTAATGACATTTTGAACACAGTTCATGCCGGCGTTATGATTTCAAACATGAAATAAGAACAATCCTATGTCGAAATCACCATTTCACAGATATTATTTGGTGGTACCAAAAGGCCTCGAGTTAAGAAATATCGACAACTTGATACAAGAATTGAACATTTGAAAACACAGTTATTAAATGGCTCTTTAATTGTAAATCGGTATGGAACAAATATTTCCTATTTAGTGGGGCTGTAAAATTATTGTTATGTTGTAAGGCATTTATTTATAAATTATATAATGCTATTTAATAAAAGTTAAATGTGTAAATTGTAATGCATTTTTATATGTGTAAATCATTTAATGTTATTTAATAAATATTAAATTTGTTAAAATCAATATATTTTTATATCTGTAAGCTATTTAATGTTATTTAATAAAAGTTAAATTTGTTAAAATCAATACAGTTTTAGTCTTAAAAAAGATATGGACTATAGTTTATAACACCATTGTTCTAGGATTAACTCTGGATTAGCGGCAAAATTTGACATCAAAGCCTGCCGGCTAAGTGGGAACACCCCGTTTAATGGTCGAGAGCGAGACATTAAGTAACATATTGTAAAAACAATAATGGAACGCCAACATCAAGGGGTGACGTCACATCTGTATTTTAAATACTAATAATGTGATGAAATCAGAGACCGGGGCTGGATTAACCCCGAAGCAATCTAAGTACGTGCTTAGGGCATCAGGGGAACACCGCAGAATTTCATTGTTAGATGACACATGTAAAATATCTAATTTAAAAATCAATTAAGAATTTTTAATTAGTTTGTTACCTGCCTTGTCTCAATTAATAATGACGTATATAAACCTCATTTTGACAAATGCAAATTTATTTTGTGATTTATAATGGTTTATGTATATGGGGGGAACCATATTCTTTAAAGTGCCTAGGTGTTCTATGGGCCTTACTCCGACCCCGTCAGAGACAACGTGTGTCAATTAATTGCTCTAAAATCTCCGTGTGATTAATGTATATATTAATATCTCTTTACAGAATAATTTGATCAGTAATAATTTGATCAGTAATAATTTAATTTGATCTTCTTTGAGCGGCATTTAGCAATTGACATACGTAATACAAAAACATAATTTGGAACACAATTACTATTTTATTTAAAGCGACGTTTCGTTGAGGGTTCTCTCAACATTTTCAGCAGTAATTGTATTCCATATTATGTTTTTGTATTTATTTAATTTGATCAGTAATAATTTGATCAGTAATAATGGGGGGGGGGGGGCGGAGGCCCTGACTCAATGATTACAACTGATTATGATTTATAATTTTATAATAATTTTATCAGCAATAACAAGAACCACAGACACAGGGATTACAAATAATTATGATTTTATTAATTTTATTAGCAATAACAGGGATCATAGATCCAGGGATTACAAATACTTATGATTCATAACAATTTTATAATAATTATACACGGGAACTAGTCAAATTGATGTAATGAAACAAATACACGACGTTTCACGACCCCCACTCAAGTGCTCTGCTAACGCTGGGCAGCAAATGCTCATTATCGAACTTGGTCACTGTACTGATATAATGATACTATACACCAAGTTTCATCACTTTCACTTAATCATAACCAAAGAACTCCATCAGGGCATTGACCTTATAAACACCCACGAGGTTAGACAGGCGACCCTACTCCTTGTCACGTACAACCTAGGAATCGAAACCTCGCCAGTTGACTCAATGACAGACCGTATGACACAACACGCACGTGCTAACCATTCGGCCATTCAACCCCCCACAGACAGAGGGACGGTCAGGAGCATAATAGTATCATGTTGTTGTTTTTTTTTTCTTCGAAAGGCGGGTGACGTAATGATATATCCCTTAAAGCAAAGTGAACTAAAGAACTTGCTAATTATGTATTAAATGCTACATTGTACTGGTAATGTATGAAGTGTTTACAATATCTCTATTTGCTAACTGTATAAATCTGTAACTATGGTTGTAAAATGTCAATCTGATTACAATACAGATCTATATTTCGTTTCGTTTATTTATACTTTCGATGGCCTACACTACATGAAGATCTGACAAGTTGTAGCGATAGGTCGCGTCAGGGGTCAAAAGCCCGACTTATGACCCTATGACGTCAGACATTTGATTAACCAATCAGCATTGATGTTACTAGTGGACTACCCACAGTTCAGTGAAAAACACGCCTAAAGCTCGCCGTAACAGACCGTTTCATTGGCTTATCCCTGCCACCATTCAGAACACGAGTTAAATAACAACTCTTCCAGATCCAAGTGTAGTAAAGACATGTAAAACGAAATTTTGACTTATAAAAACGAAAAAAAATATGATCTGTGTTTTAACCAGATTGGTCAAATGTTTACCTACTTATTCGTGGAATCAGAGAAAAATAAAAAAAAATTAAAACAATTTGACTGCATGTTATGAAATTTGACATTATCTTACTTCAGGAGACTCGTAGAACTTTGAAGTAGGAATAGCTATGGACAGGCGCATAGGGTGGTGACATTTTCCTAGCCACCCTATGTTTCCATTAAACACAAAAATAATGCAAAATGATCAATCCCATATTTCAGTTAAAGAAAAAACAATAAATAATGAAACGTTTCCCAGTCACTCAGATTAATATAAAAATTAAAACCTAAAAAAGTTCCCTAGCCACCTCATATTCATGTTAAATATATAAAAAAACATAACGTGAAATATAAAACAAATATCAGATTGAACAGTTTCCTACACCCCACACTTTTTTCAGTATAAAAGGGAACATAATGGAAATATTTCAGTATGACAAATAATGGAATCTTTGCATTGTGGTCGTACGGACGATTTAATATGTTCCGGGTTGGGCTTTAAGGTGGTTGCACCTCAAATTTCAGTCAATTTGCTCAACAACTTTTTTATTCTACAGCCATTTTATGTTCATAGTCTATACATACGATGTCCTAGATCACGCCATCTTGCTTATTGTGTTCGTATACTCCATCATCAAGACACTAAGACGGCCTTCTGCATACTAAGTTGATCCGTTAACACCACCCATCTGCTAAATCTAGTATGACAGCCTGCTAATATTTGGGACTGGGACTAAACGTGATCTAAAAAGACATCGGAATACGGACTGTCACACCAACGGACTCTTTGAATAACGGACTATCACACGAACTGACACTAGGAATAATCGACTGTCACACCAACGGACATTCGGAATAACGGGTTGTCAGATGCGGGTGTCTGTCTCAAGAATAAGGGGTATAGTGGGGCGGATATGTGAAATGGGTGTGCACTTCCAGAAAGAAGCATGAAATTTTGGCCCAGGGGGTTTTTGGGTATGCAGATTTCAAAAATTGCGGGAACCACGACGTCACTCCAGCCGTTCCCGCCAAAAATTGAGAAATTCAAAATGGCCGCCACAAAACACGTTCTCGTCCATAAAATGTCTGTAAGTGCACCGATTTCAATGATCTTGATGTCTATTCCTATGTTTTTGGGGGTTTTTTTGGGGCTTTTTCGGGGGGGGGGGGGCGCGAATGGTTAGCACGTGCGTGCTGTATCATACGACCTGTCATTGAGTCAACTGGCGTGGTTTCGAATCCCCGGTTGTACCTGACAAGGAGTAGGGTCGCCTGTCCAATCTCGTGGGTTTTCTCCGGGTCCTCCGGTTTCCTCTCACTGCTAAAGACCATTACGCGCAAGCGAATTATTGAAATGAAATTAAACCATATGTTAGTCCTGAAATGACCTAGTTTGTGTCGAGTGGACGTTAAACCTCATTTCTCTCTCTCTCCCTATGTTTTTGAGGTCAAGGAATCTAGTAAAACACATACGAAGACTCATAATGTTCTCCTTCATAGTGTTTTCTAAACGTTATCATAATTCAAATTGAACAGATGTATTTTTTATTTGCACCTTGTTCTTTGATAAACGGATATCAAAATTTCATTATGTTCCATTTCAGTGGAAACTAGCTATTACTCATGAAACACAAACAGTCCGCATTTCATGTCAATCACCATGTTATATATGCACACGATGGTGTTGTAAATATATTCAATAAACGTCTGAACTTTCTTCATAAATCTGATACATTGTATATTCAGTGAAGATACATTTAACAAGGTATCAATATCATTTTATGTTTCAGATACAAGTGATAGTCATCTAGTCAATCGCCTACCATGTCCAAGACCAACTGGGAAATTTGTGCTCTGTATCAAGAACATGGTGGATCACTCATCAACCCATCAGCAACAGGTTACTTGTCTCTGGCCACTAATTTAACTGCCTTTCATGAATTGAACAAAGTGACTACATATCCCGACTAGATGATGGTGATAACATGGAAAAAACGATGGTAAACCATAAAGCTAGATGGCATAAAAGTTGTTACGTCCTGTGTAATACAGCAAATGTGGAGAGAGCCAGGAAGCTGGAAGAAAAGGCCTGTATGAACACGACCCAATCACCGCTTTGTGAAAATCTCCCGTGGTTCCATCACAGAAAAGACTAGATGGTTGATGTGACTCGACTGTATCAATGGGACATGCTGAAGTGGTTGAACTACGAAGGTGTTTTTTATGCGGTTGTCAGGTTTTTGGGCCACGCAACCTATCCAGTCCGACGATCATCGAATAAACAGAATATTAGGCCATGAGTAAAATAAATGGCGGGGGTAGTAAAGCACCGATCGGAAACCCCTACCAAAATCATTGTAATTTTTATGAACTAGAGACAGTGTAATTTCGAGATAGCCCAGTATGATGAGTGTCTTGATCATCGAGGCTAAATAGTAAAAAAAAAAGCCAAATGGCGTTGAAGGGGGGAATCTTTACTGCCATCGAAAGTAAAAGATATGTAAAATGAGAAGCTATTGATCCAATCGACTGAAATTTTATGTGCGGCCATCATTCGCTACCCATAATATCCCCAAATACAAATCTCTATATACAGCGATGGGGCGTTTCAGAGCAAATGAATTAACAGCTGGCCTATTTACGCTCTTCGTGTTGTCGACGATGCCAGTATTCGTGTTACACAGGTAACTACATGGCGACACCCAAAGCTGATTTTAAAATGTAACGTTTAACATATAGTCTACCTACCTTGTTAATTACAATAAATATCACTGACAATTACTAGTGTCTACGTGTTTTTCTAAGAAATTAATCTGAGGCTAAAAATAGATTTCTAGGAAAACCAAAATGTTTACTTTCTGTATTGATGTTAATTTGAAAATCTATTATTACCCACAGTTAGGTTGAATAGTAGTTAGTAAGTATAGGATTATGTACGTTTTAAATGACTCGGTTGAATATTAATTTATATATCTACCCAATAAATCTCGGCTCAGTATATGACATCTAGTTTCCAGCAGAATTTTTCCGGGTGCTGTCCTGACGTTCTATATTAGTTGTACCACAAATGAAAAATATTTTTTCAATTTATATAATAGGAATGAAATCCACCCACCCCACCCTTCGAACAAATGGCAGCATATGTAAATTTTTCTTAAAAGGAGTCAATGAAATAAAGAAAAAGACAAAGTTTATTTGAACACAGTCTGGTTGTTGGGTATCATGCTAAATTCTAAATTTAAATGACTAGAGCTGATTCTGGACATAAGTTATGTAATTTGTTGAAGCCATCAGTTCAACCGTGTTCACTTGCCGGCCAATCATAATTAACAACCAATTTACTATCTTGAAATCTGTTTGCGCATTGGCTGAAATTTAAATTCTGTGTTCAAACAACTTAATAGAAATATATTAACAAGAAACTGAAGACATTGGAGTGGTATACAACTGTTCATAGAACGTAGTTACAGACAAACATATAAATAATACATTGTATTACTTTCTCTACATTAATATTAGATTAGATCAAATTTATGTGATTTTGTTATTTAAATAAGTTCATTTAATTATATTTCAGTTATACCAAGACGAAAACTTGGCGTACGGTGGCTACTGCTGAATCATCAACAAAATTAAAATTGATCCACCGAGAGGAAAAAAAAATCAGTTTATCAAATCAGAGGAAATCATGAGCCAACTGTATTAGATAAGAAGAAATCATGGGCCAACTATATTAGAAGAAATCATTTGCAACTATATTTGAAGAAATCATGGGCCAACTGTATTTTTACCAAAATAAGAATTATCCGGCTTAACGCGGTGACACTTGCATTGCCAGACACCTAGGCCATGCTTGATATAATGAAGTAAAATTTTGGGTTAAATTGTACATTTTCGATAATGCTGTTAAAAATTGGTTCACTAGGGTTGGGCATAGGAATGGGAGAAGAAGAAAACGAGGGGAAAGGGGGACAGCTGCAGGAGAGTGAACAGGGGAGTGAATAGATAAATCGATGAAAAAATTTTATAGTTGAAAATTTAGCTTTTTTTTAATGTATATAAAATCAAAAGAGCTGCTGTTCGTTACGTATCGCACAGCCATACTAAGTGTACAATTGCTAAAGAACGAGTGCTGGCCTGTTAGTAATACTATTTCATATGATAATCACTTTTCGTTTTAACTTGCCGTGGACTATGGATCGGACATCGGTCATTATATTCCTTATTATACTTATATATTCATCAACTTCTATTTTAGCGTATTCTGTTTAATTGGTTTTGGAATGAATGAATGAATGAAATGTGGTTAAATGGCACGTCAGTCACCGGACTATACTGCGCCAAACATTATGGTGATTTATATAAGACAAAAGAAAACTATATGCTTTCAGTTTCACATAAACTATTTACGTACATAAACAAAAGCAATTATAACAGAATGTTAAATAATCAATATTTAAAAATGAAAAACATGGTGATATGTAATATTTACAATTAAAATCCTCTTTAACAATTTGTCTCTTTTATAATATCTATAATCTTGCAATATAGACCCGTTTGGGTAAATAATTGATTTAATGATGGCAACGGTAGTAATATTTGTGTTTTGATTAAAAAACGAAAAACAATTCATTTTGTAATGATCATGTGACGTTATAACAGTAGATTTATAAGGACGTCTGTGTAAACAAATGAAATGAAATGAAATGGGGTTTAACGTCCTACTGTTTTGCCCGGACAGCGGCACTACGGCCTACTTCTTATATTGAATTCCAACTGTCAAGGGATTTTTTACGTACACAGCCAATGTGTACACGGGACCTCGGTTTTTCGTCTCATCCGAATGACTAGACAGCTGTCCTTGTGAGGGCCTCCGTCCTACATTACCAACAAGGGGGAACCACGCCGGAAAATCTGGATGAACTTTCTCGGCCAATGCAGGGATCGAACACCCGACTTCCAGGCTAGCGAGCCAGCGTCCTACCCACTTAGCCACCGTGACCCGCCTGTGTAAACAAAAGGTGATATTCATTTGTAATTAAAGCTCGACGATTCAAATAACTATACGATTCTTTGGTTATTGAACACATCTAGTATTTTCAGTTCATTAACCGTAGTTAAAACTTTAATAAAACACGAGTTATCATGTTTCAAATATAAAATGAAATGAAATGGGGTTGAACGTCCTACTGTTCTGCTCCTAAACTGGGCTAATGAAGACGAGCATGCGCCATACAGTGTGCTATGAGGGAAATTTTGCCAGGGCAGCGGCACTACGGCCTGCTCTTATATCGAAATATGAAATGAAATGAAATAGGGATTAACGTCCCACCCTCACGCAAATGAAGTGATGACGCCACCCATATGAAGTGTAGGTGACACTAAACCGAGACGTGCTCGAAGTGAAAAATTTGATATCTGAAGTGTTCATTTCTACCACACTTCCGTAACGATACTTCAAATTTTCAATGAAATAAAGAAGGCAGAAATGATGTTGAAGTGAGGAAGAAGCCATGCCAAATATGCAAATTAGGCTTCAACGAAGTGTTCACTTCAACCAAGTGCTTATCGGGTGTTATTCTCACTTCAACTCAGTGCTTATCGGGTGTTTTTCTCACTTCAACTCAGTGCTTATCGAGTGTATTGCTCACTTCAATCCAGCGCTTATTGAGTGTTTTATTCACTTCAACTCAAGTGCTTATCGAGTGTTTTGCTCACTTCAAACCGGTGCTTTTCTCACTTCAACCCAGTGGTTATCAGGTGTTTTTCTCACTTCAACCCAGGGCTTATGGAGTGTTTTTCTCACTTCAAATCGGTGCTTATCGGATGTTTTTCTCACTTCAACCCGGTGCTTATCGGGTGTTTTTCTCACTTCAACCCAGTGCTTATCGGGTGTCTTTCTCACTTTAACCCAGTGCTTATTGGTTGTTATTATCACTTCTACACAGTAAGGTTGCAGACTTCAACAGTGTGAGGCCTAGCTCACAAACCAGGTGGGGGGGGGGGCTGTATTTGATCCCAGTGTCAGTCATGAAAGTTACTCCACCCTCCCAGGATTTTCTGCACCGTTCGCCTGATCAGTAGATCTAGGGCCTGGCAAAGGATGGTGTTTGGTTGTGATAGTGATGGGGCTGAAAAGCCAAAGTTCCATGTAGAAATTGTCGTTCATGTAAAAAAAAGAAACCTGTGTAATTAAAAGAGGACAATTCAGAGAAGCCACATCTGGGCTAAATTTCCCTCATAGCACACTAAATAATCCTAGTTGTGCTGAAAAACAGCAAATATGAAACAAAACACCACTTTGATATTTATTATTTATTATTGTTTTCAAAATATTACAACACAATTGATACAATTAACAAGTGGTTGCCATCTAAGATACACCCACATATTGCAAAAGAGAATAAGGAATATAAATAAGGCTAATCACCCATTGTCCCAATGTTTCATATAGAATTAGAAAAAAATCTGTTAAAAAAATTGTAGCCTTATCACGTTCACATGATTTCCCAAAAAGTGGGTTAAGTGTGGATTGCTGAAATTTATTGGATTTGTCCTCTCATGGTCCCAATGCTACACGGCAAATTAAAACATTGTAGCCTCATCACATTCACAAGCTTTTTTGAAAAGGTTATCTTCGAATCGCTGCATATCGTTGGGGTTTGTGATCTCATGAATCCAATGCTTCACACCAAATCTGAAAAGGATCGGTTAAAAACTGTAACTCCTATCAAATTCAAAGTTTTTGGCTATGGGGCATAACTCTGAACTCCAAAGCCAAATCTTCAGCAAAGAGGGGTTAATTCGAGCATGGGAAATGTTGGCATATGAAACTGAGAATTCTAGAGGATCCAGAAGTTAAAAACAATGGATCGTACAATCAGGTGTAATATTCTATGCCAAAATCCTCTGGATGGGCCCACATGCTAAAAACCCAATTTTTCCACAATATAAGGGGCCATAATCCATGAGGTTAGAGTTCAAAATGAATCCGATCCCAGATGATTTGAATATAAATATACATTTAAATTTCATTAAAATCGGATAATTGTGAACACAAACAAATTTCACCGGAGGTACATCTGGACGGAAAGAGGCAGCGACATGAAAATGTGGGTGCCATAAAAAATAAATATTCATAGACTCAAGGGCAGGTGTTTTGTAATTTGGATAGCGTCAGGCTATAATCCATTACAGTTTACACATTTCGTGTGTTTTCTTGCATCTTTAACACACCATATTTAACCCACATTCAATGTTGCTATAAATCAACTCCACACCTTATTCGACCACATTCATAGGTTTGATTAACCTGAAATTAAAACAAAAAAAAATGTTCAGTTAAAGATGCATTCCGAAAAAAGTAATTATAGGGAGATTATTTCGAATAAAATATGGTAAGTTTGGATATGGAAAGTAGGGACACCCAATCTTACTAGAAAATACTAAATTCCTGCGGAGAGAGAGAGAAATGAGGTTTAACGTCCACTCGATACAATCTAGGTCATTTCGGGACTAATATATGGTTCCATTTTATTTCAATAATTCGATAGCGCGTAGCAGTCTTTAGCAGTGGGAGGAAACTGGAGAAAACCCATGAGATTGGACAGTTGACCCCACTCCTCATCACATACAACTGAGGAATCGAAACCATGCCAGTTAACTCAATGACAGACATGAGCTAACCAGTCGGCCATCCAACCCCCCAGATTCCCATGGAAACACTAAGAGACACAGTGAAAACAAGCAGATGCCATGCAGGATACACCCACATTTTGTAAGAGGTGGACAGAGAACAAGCCCAAAAAGCGATTTAAGTTTCAGCAAAATTGGATAACAATTGTGATCTCTATAATGTGATTTGTACAATCAGTCGCCATAATCCATAAGTTTTGGTCCGATATGCCTGAATATTCTAATGAACCGAGATCTTTGGGATATAAACATACATTTCAAGTTTTATCATAAAAATTGTCACTCTAAAGGGTCCACAAGCTAAAAATGCAATTTTTCATACGATCAGGGGCCATAATCTATAAGTTATGGTCTGATATGCATGAATATTGAAAGGAAATGAGATCCAGGGAGTTACGACCCAATATGCGCGAATATTGAAAGGATCTGGGATCTTTGGGTTATATACATACATTTTAAGTTCAAAATTGCGACCTCTAGATGGGTCCAAAACCTTGGCTATTTTGTTGGGCAATTTCAGTCTGATTTTCACGAAATTTGAGCTCAACTGTTATTAAGATGTAACGGTGATATAGTTGAACCTTTGTTTTTTAAAATCAGATAAAAATTGTGATTCCTGGAGGTTTCACAAGCTCAAAATGTGATTTTTTCAATACAATCAGGTGCTATAATCCATGAAGGAAAGGGGATTAACTAAGACTAAGGCCTGTATTGTGCTAAGACAAATACGGATGACAGACCACAGGAGTGGATGACGGAAATATATGACTGTATTGAAATGTGAATGCATACAAAGGATTACCTTCCATTGACTGTAACCAACATTGTTAGTACCGGTACAGAGCGTCATTAAAATCTTCAGCTGTAATGACTTTCAATGACTGATTTATACCAAATACTGTATACAGCACTTATTATTTGTCTTTCCATCATTCATCCATCCGGGTCACAAGCTCACCATCTGAAAACATAAAATTATCTTTTTAGATCAGATGGGATGATTCTTCTCAAAGATGAGGGTATGAAATGAAATGAAATGAAATGGAGGTTAACGTCCTACTGTTCTGCTCCTAACCTGGGCTAATGAAGGCGGGCATACGCCATACAGTGTGCTATGAGGGAAATTTTGCCCGGACAGCGGCACTACGGCCTACTCTTATATCGAATTCCAACTGCCAAGGGATCTTTTACGTGCACGCCAATGTTTACACTGGACCTCGGGTTTTCGTCCCATCCGAACGACTAGACAGCTTTCCTTGTCAGCCCCTCCGTTCTACATACGAGGGTATGAGTTACATGTATAGTGAGAAAAAGATACAATTTAATTGCAGCAATTTATGAACAATCCCCATACATTTTTTTAACAAGCGGTTGCCATGCATGATTTGCCGACATTTTGCAAGAGATGGACAGAGAACAAGCTCAAAAAAAGTGATTTTTCGTACAATCAAGGGCCATAATTCAGGAAGTTACGATCCGATATGCATGAATATTGAAAGGAACCAAGATCTTTGGGTTATAAACATGTATTTCAAGTTTCATCAAAATCTGATCAAATTTGTGTCCCCTCTCCAGAGTGTCCAAAACCTTGATATACCATATATTTACAATATTTGCGTACGAGGAGCAGCCATTTTGTCCGGCAGTTTTGGTCCAATTTGTACGAAACTTCGTACTCAACCATCATAAGGGTGTAACAGTGATATATTCAAACGTTTTTTTAAATCGGATAAAAATTGTGACATCTTGAGGGATCACATCCTAAAAACGCGACTTTTCATATAATCAAGGGCCATAATTCAGGAAGTTATGATCCAATATGCACGAATATCGAAAGATCTTTGCGTTGTAAATATGCATTTCAAGTCTCTACAGGGTCCACAACATTGATATACCATATTTTTACGCCATTTGACAATGAGGCGTGGCCATTTTGTCTGTCAGTTTTGGTTAGATTTTTACGAAATTCGAAATCAACCATCCTTAGAGTATAACGGTGATATATTCAAATGTTTTTTTAAATCGGATAATAATTGTGACCTCTAGGGGGACCACAAGCTATAAACGTGATTTTTCGGCCATAATTCAGGAAGTTATGGTTCGATATGCGCGAATATCGAAAGGAACTGAGATCTGTGGGTTATAAACATGCATGTCAAATTTTATCAAAATCAGATGAAAATTGTGACCTCCAGTCCACAACCCTGATACGCAATATTTTGACATTACATGTATTTGCGAGCGAGGGGCGGCCATTTTGTCCGTCAGTTTCAGTTCGATTTTTACAAAATTCGAACTCAACCATCCTTAGGGTGTAACAGTGATATATTCACACATTGTTTTTAAATCTGATAAAAATTGTGTCCTCTATGGGGTCCACAAGCTAAACACGTGATTTTTCGTACAATCAGGGGCCATAATTCAGGAAGTTATGGTCCGATATGCGCGAATATCGAAAGGAACCGAGATCTGTGGGTTATAAACATACATTTAAAGTTTAAACCACATCGGATAAAAATTGTGACCTCGACAGTGTTCACAACCTAAAAACGCGATTTTACGTACAATCATGGGCCATAATCCACGAAGTTACGGTCCGATACATGCTAATGTTAATATCGAAAGGAACCGAGATCTTGGGGAGATAAACCTATATTTCAAGTTTCGTTGAAATTGGATAAGAATTGTGACCTGTAAAGTGTTCACAAGCAATTGTGGACGGACGGACAGGGGCGACGACAATATACGTCCACATAAAAAGGACTGGGGAGCGACATTTAAAGTTAACTGGAGATTTTTTATCAGACTACATAAACAATCCCACCTATATGACTTAATTATCCTACAAAGCAAAATTGATGCAATTTGTACATTTGGGCAATCAGTTTCATTTTCAGGCAAGTGAAATCATTGAACTACTTGCCCTAAGAAGTTAATGTTGAGTTAGGAATGTGTCATGTTTTATTTTCCAGCAACAAGGGAGAGAGAGAGAAACGGGGTTTAACGTCCACTCGACACAAACTAGGTCATTTCGGGACTAACATATGGTTTAATTTTATTTACATAATTCACTTGCGCGTAGGGGTCTTTAGCAGTGGGAGGAAACCGGAGGACCCGCAGAAAACCCACGAGGTTGGACAGGCGACCCTACTCCTTGCACGTACAACCGGGGATTCGAAACCACGGCAGTCGACTCAATGACAGACTTTATGATACTTTGAGAAATTATTCAATATTGGGACCATCGGAATAAAAGGTTGAAAGATTTAAATTTACGGGCCATTAGCTGCCTTTAAACTACAGGGAATTAGGTAGGGAACGTATGATTATTGGACAGCAGTACTGAGGGGTAATCTCTATATCTGACTTTCAGATTCTCAGGCCGCCCAACCATGTACCGGTATCAACCTCAAGAACCATTGAACTAACGGATTTCAGATCATCGGCCCAAGTATGGAATAACAGACATGTAGGGTGACAGAATAAGTTTACTTCAATTTACCATCTTGTCTAGACACATTTTTCACATACTGCACTGGTGGATTATTAATTTACCTCCTCTGAAAAAAAAATAAAGACGAAATAAATTCACCTTTTTTCAAGTACCAATATAGTGTACCGCAGTTTAAATTTACCGAAAACAACTGTAATCATTCAAAATGAATGCCAGTTAACTCGTCCACACAAAAAGTCTAGTTATGTAGTCCACAAATATCAAAATACATGTACACTGGTTAGTCGTTGACACGACATTGGTCAACTCGTCCACACACCCATGGCGCCCCAATTCGACAATCACAATGGCAATGATATGCCATGAAAATGAAATGAATAAATCAATTCTCTGCATAGATCTAGTTCAAATTAAACTGAAGAATTTTCTGGGACAACTCGTCAAATTATAAATAATTCGGTGTACTTCATCAATCAATGAAGTTGGCATTTCGACGCAATGCATAATACCAAATCCAAATTGTTTGCGAGTCATGAGTCATAATCACACTAAACTTATTTTTACGCGATTTTCAGCAACTTAGAAATGTTGTTAGTGATAAATCGTAACTAATCATTAAATTGGCTAGCTATAACAAAAACCTGGTCTTTACAACAATTAAAACTTTGAGAAATATTATAATAACTTACCTTAAATTGTTTTAAATAGTATCAATCAAGTTAGCGAAAAGAAAAATGGCGCCCATAACATGAGACGAAGGCTACGATTGGATTAAATTTCACTTAAGTACGTCATTATTGACCAATCCTAGCGATCTTTAGAAAATACGAGTAAAAAAAAATTAGAAAGTTAAAAATCATTTTTTACTACCGGTATCATTAACATTAACAGAAATTCTTTTGTTTGTGTTTGGTTATAAATCTATTTCCTAAAAAAATGTTGAATTATGTATCAAAACATTGTTTTCCAATATCTTAACAACTTTCATGAACTGGGCTATAGGCCTATTTCGCTTGAGACTTGTGATGTATTAATTATCTCACATCTGGGTCACAGTAACACCCACACACCCACAAAAAAAATAGGTCAACAATATTTTTAAATACCGGTACTTGATCGCCATTTTGATAATACTAATAGGCTAATTAAATTAGTTTAAGATGTTGTAGGCCTACATCTCTATATATTTATTTAAAAAAAACAACTTAAAAACACATATTTAATTTAAACAGGATTCTATCTGACCCTGTTGTATTTTAGTATATTATTACCATGGAACTTATAATACAACTGTTAACATTGTGTTTTTTTGTATTGTCACTCTGTAAGTTCCCCTGAGCACTATAAATATGCTGTAATAATAATAATAGTATAATATTAAGAAACAGAAATAATAATAATAAGCAAATTTTAGCAATGTCTAAATGTCAACATTTTTTGTAATCTTTTTACATTTCTTCCAAAGCAAATGTTAATTATTGTATCAAAACATTTCCAAAGCAAATATGTTCTTAATGGACGTAATATGCAAATAAAAAGTTGAAGTTGAAGTTATTGTATCAAAACATTGTTGTTCAATATTTTAACTTTTCATGAATTATAGTTTCTGAAATTTCGATATCATTGAAAATATGATAGGTGTAAGGCCTACGCGGGGATCACGTGGCTAAGTGGGTAAGATGCTGGCTCGCTAGCCTGGAGGTCGGGTGTTCGATCCCTGCATTGGCAGAGAAAGTTCATTCAGATTTTCCGGCGTGGTTTCCCCTTGTCAGTGATTCAGGATGGAGGGCCTGACAAGGACAGCTGTCTAGTTGTTCGGGTGGGACAAAAAAAACGAGGTCCCGTAGCGCCGCTGCCCGGGCAAAATTTCCCTCATAGCACACTGTATGGCGTATGCCCGTCTTCATTAGCCCAGGTTAGGAGCAGAACAGTAGGACGTTAAACCCCATTTCATTTCATTTCATTTCAGGGCCTACGTAGGCCTAGGACCCTTTTTTTTTAAATGACAGATTCTCGCAATTTCAAAATAGACTACAGACCTACTTAATGTCTTTTTGAGACTATGGTTCAATTTTATTTCAATAATTTGCGCATGAACGTAGGGGTCTTTAGCAGTGGGAGGAAACCGGAGGACCCGGAGAAAACCGTCAAGGTTGGACAGGCGACTACTCCTAGTCACGTAACTGGGGAATCAAAACCAGGAGCAGAACAGTAGGACGTTAAACCCCATTTCGTTTCATTTCAGGGCCTACGTAGGCCTAGGACCGTTTTTTTTTTAAATGACAGATTCTCGTAATTTCAATATAGACTACAGACCTACTTAATGTCTTTTAGAGACTATGGTTCAATTTTATTTCAATAATTTGCGCATGCACGTAGGGGTCTTTAGCAGTGGGAGGAAACCGGAGGACCCGGAGAAAACCCACAAGGTTGGACAGGCGACTACTCCTAGTCACGTAACAGGGGAATCAAAACCATGCCAGTTGACTCAATAACAGACCTTACGATAACCATTCACCATCCAAAACCCACCCCCGATATTATCAAAAGTATACATAGGTGTATTGGAAGGTTAATTTATGGTATCAAAACCAAATTTTGTCGGCATCAAATTTGGTCAAATACTGAAAGAGAAAATTTCAATAGGGCCTACAGTAACTTTTTATTTTACAAAACCAAATTTGTTTTGAAGCTGTATATATCAAACAACTTTACAAGTACATGTCGTACAATTTCTTTTCACTTTAATGAATGTAATATAATGTTAAACGACATCTAAAAAAATTGTCTCAAATTAAAACAATTCTGGTTCTTACATGTATATTGAATATAATCCAGCTTGTCAGATCAAAGAAAATTCTTGCTTGATATTGGGAGACACTGTGCCTCAGTGAGAGAGAGAGAAATGGGGTTTAATGTCCACTCGACACAAACTAGGTCATTTCATACTAACATATGGTTCAATTTTATTTCAATAATTGGCTTCCGCTTAGGGGTCTTTAGAAGTGGGAGGAAACCGGAGGACCCGGAGAAAACCCACAAGGTTGGACAGGCGACCCTACTCCTTGTCACGTACAACCGGGGAATCGAAACCACGCCAGTTGACTCAATGACAGACTTTATAATACAGCGAGCACGTGCTACCCATTCGGTCATCCCCCCCCCCCCCCAGTGAGTGAGACGTTGGCACACTATCCGAGTCATCCCGTGTTCGATCCTGTCATTGCCCAGGAAAGCTCTTCTAGATTTTACGCCTTGGTTCCCCCTTTCCAGTGGTGCAGGACATAGGGCCTGGCAAGAAGAGAGAGAAATGAAGTTTAATGTCCACTCTACACAAACTACGCCATAGCAGGACTAACACATGGATCAATTTTTTTTCAATTATTTGGCTGTAGGGGTCCTTTGTAGTGGGAGAAAACCATAGGGACCAGGAGGAAACAGTTGTATAGTCGTGCGGATGGCACAACAAAAAAAAAAACGACATCACACATGCACATTGGCGTGTATGTAAAAGTTGGACAGGTGGATTTTGAAATAAGATACATGTAAGGCCTTAGTGCCTCATTGCACACTGTATGGCATATGTAATGGGTGTCTTTTTCGAACGTTTTTTGATAATAAGAGCATGAGTAATTCAATTATCCCAGGTTGGATCCCGGCATGTCAACAAAATTACTCAGGATTTCCGGAATAATTTACCATTGACAGTGGTGTCGGACAAGGGTCCTGGCAAGAAACAGCATCTAGTTGTTCATACTGTTCATATAGCACCGCTGTGTGTGCATTCTCCCAAATTGTCTGACCGAGAGAGAGAGAGAGAGAGAAATGGGGTTTAATGTCCACTCGACACAAACTAGGTCATTTGGGGCCTTTCATATGGTATAATTTTATTTCAATAATTCGCTTGCGTGTAGGGGTCTTTAGCAGTGGGAGGAAACCATAGGACCCGGAGAAAACCCACGAGGTTGGACAGGCGACCCTATTCCGGGTAACTTCTGGGCTAACATTTAGTTCTTTGCTTGTGTCTTTTCTTTTCAATGTGGGAGGGGGTCACGTGGCTAAGTGGGTAAGACGCTGGCTCGCTAGCCTGGAGGTCTGGTGTTCGATCCCTGCATTGGCCGAGAAAGTTCATTGAGATTTTCCGGCGTGGTTCCCCCTTGCCAGTGATGCAGGACGGAGGGCCTGACAAGGAAAGCTGTCTAGTCCTTCGGATGAGACGAAAAACCGAGGTCCCGTGTATACATTAGAATGCACGTAAAAGATCCCTTGGCAGTTGGAATTCGATATAAGAGTAGGCGATAGTGCCGCTGCCCGGGCAAAATTTCCCTCATAACACACTGTATGGCGTATGCCCGTCTTCATTAGCCCAGCATAGGAGAAGAACAGTAGGACGTTAAATCCCATTTCATTTCATTTTTTCAATGTGGGGGTTGAATGGTCTTGTGCTTAATGTGTGCACATGAAATCACAAGGTCTGTCGTGGATACACTAGCCGAATCATTCGGCCAAATAAGTGGCCATACTCCCACCTGATTCACTAGTCGATTGCATCACCTTTGACATCGCATGATTAAACATGGCAGCGACCATGTCTTCAAACAATCACGTGACTTCTCAATATGATTGGTGATTAAGTATAATTCGGGCGAATATATCAAACATGTTTGATTCGCGAATCATTAAGCGCGGATTCATTCGGCTACTGCGTCCAGCGCTTAAAGCAATATGCACTAACTCATTTCAACAACAATAAAATGTCAGCAGCATAATGTTGTAAACATAGGATATAGCAATTTATAGCTATCATTTTCACATGCAAAATTGTTTATATATTTTATTGTAACATACTAGACTTTTTAAAAGAGACATGTTTTTATCATAAATTTTAATTGAATATTTATCACTTCATTTTTGTATTTTAAATATTAATATGCATAAAAGGTTTATTTCATTTTTAATTTTAGTTACTGTGATATCGTTTTTATTTATGCATATAATACTTTTTCTGTGATATTTATTTAACTTGTCTCGCATAAATCACCATATGTTTGGCGCAATATAGCCCGGTTGGAGCTGACGTGCCATTAAACAACATTTCATTTCATTTGTTTATATATTTTATGGCCAAGTGGAATTTTTATTTGCCAAATCTTAATTTGCTTTACATTAGCCCATTCTTTAGATGCTTTACTAAGATCCAGTTTATTATTTGGTTATATTAATAAAGTTTTGCTTAAATATCACAGCAATATTAGGCTATCATATACATTTACAAAATTTTATGACAGTCAGATGTAAAACTACATGTATTGCCTATTGAGTATTATTGGTGGCTTTGGTCTTTTAAAATACCGTACCGGGTATTGAATGAAATATGTACCGGCACCGTGCAGCCTACACAACACATCAAGTCTTACAAGGATAACCAAATTTCCAGCAAATTTACTTTTACTTTTACCGTGTAGCCTACACGTGATGGTCTGTTATTATAGGTACCTGAATCATTGATAGAAATAGCAAGTTTATTTGTAAGATTAGCCTACATAAGACTCGTCATTCACTTGTGTACATTTTGAAGCGGTAGCCTGATAAAAGAAATGCCGACCGTAAATCTCGATCATTCAGGAATCGTCGCTAATCGCTATATAACGCCTACGGCCCATGGTGGCAGTATAATCTGAAATAATATAATGTCAAATAAGGCAGGCATGCTTGCATGCCGTGTGTTCAAAGCCACATTAGGTCCTAATGAAATTCAACTATCAAAACATTCAATTCTCGTCGGCCATTTTGTAGATGGCGAAATAGATGCTGGAGTTAACGACATTAACCATCAGTCTTTAACATCAGTCTCTGGCCATCCGGAGGTGCCACCGATTTTGTTTAATTAAAAAAGTCTTAAGGTATACGGCATCCAGGAAGAGTAGGCCTGATCTGCTCCTAAAGGCGAAGATGAAACGAGTTAACCATTGTAACGTTTTCTTGAAGGGATAACCACGTTTGGGGTATGGGGAGCTTGGTATCTCTGCCACCAGTGATCAATTTCTGGCTGATCACGAGCCACCGGTAAACGGAACTTCGGAAGGGTGTGTAAGGACCAGTTAAAAAGTGGTCAGTAACGGTGTTTTGCTAAAATTATAATAAGCTTCAACGTAGGAATAAGACAGACTCGTTCAGTTTTCAAACCTTTATGTAACAAAAACTTTCAAAATATATATATATCAATACTCTAAAAGTGTCTTTACTTTTTTGGGCGAATAGCATTCGCCATACTGGTTCTTGAATCTGCCAGTTCGTCTTTACTTTTTCGGGCAAAGAGCTTTCGCCGTATTTATTCATGATTCTGCAATTTTGTCTTGAATCTGCAACTTGTCTGAAACAAAAGGGACAAGGACCTATTTCACGAGGGGATGTTCTATGCCATCGGAACGTAGCTTGTCGATATCAGCGAGTGAATCACTGACCTTAAACCGCAGTACCAATGGCTAGCCTACCGTGCAAATTCCCGCCAGCATAATGTATGTATAAGAGACATTTATTCCTACTGGCGGTTCACAAATATTGCATTTAAAAATCAAATCATAAGAACATAAACACGACTAATAAACAGTATCATATTGATTATAACAGTATAATGTATATATTGGTTACACTATATATATGACAAAACATCAATCATTCGATGACAATAATTATTTACTAATTATATAAATCATTTTAACAAGTAGGATTTATCTTTTACCCCTAATCTAAAAATAATTACCCTGGTTAGAAAGGTATGGACAATTAAGGTATTTAACGAAATGATTACGAGAGAACATAAAACTATAGACTTCTATGATAAGACATATAATACATGTTTAATATCTATATAAATGAAGGCAATGTCCTACGCTAACAAATAATCAAATATGATAGTATCAGTAAATATAAATAAAACAAAGTAGTCGCGAACATCCTGGCGCTTGACTGCTTCACTATAATCGTTACTATCACCATCTCTGCGTCTGAATGTGCCCTATCAGCATCGAGAAGCACGTTCTATTTATCTTTTACCATTTCTAAAAATAAATTATAATATTCAGATGTATAAAGTTGTCATATTTTTATGGAAGAACATTATGTATTGAAATGCGGGGTCCTTTGCTTGTCTGTTTTGCACGCAGTCTTGTGATTCGAGATTCGACCCTAGAGTATGGTGAATGTTTTGCTTTTCTTGAAACGTCAGCTTTTTTCTTGAATTTAACGAAGGGGAACCCACAAATATCCACGTTGATTTCGGCCTAATACATTTCACCCAGTTGATATGGGTCAAATCGACCCAATATTTCAGGTCCTTTGGAAGGCCGATCCAAATATTCCATGTATGGCGAGTCAAAAGACACATGTCAATTCCGACCCCAAAATACCACACACATCGACCCAATAATTTTAAGTCATTACTAATCAAACTCAATGGGTCAAAGCTACCCCAAAAATATTTTAAGTCCGTCATGTATGTACCCTATATTTATGGGTCAAATTTGCTCAATATTTTAAGGACGATTCGACAAAATCCTTTTAACAGTGTATAACTATTTAAAAGGTCGTAAATTGTGAATCCGGGTTTTCCTTTTCTATTTTTAATAACAAAGTACGACTATTTGCTGTCGATGCCTCCTTATTTACAATTACAAATGATATGACCTCAACCAATTACGACAATTAAAATTCAAATTACATAGAGCTGTATTATGTTAAATACATACTCCATTTATACGTCCTGTTATTGAATATGGAGAAATTATATGGAATAATTGTAATGCAAAAGATTTAGAATTACTAGAATCAGGACAAATCATAATAGATCTTGGACATTCCTCAAGAAAATATGTTTATGAGGAACTAATGTGGGGACCACTGTTCAAACACCGACTAAAGCACAAACTCGTCTATCTTTTATAAAATCGTTAATTGCTATAGTGCCCGATATTTGTCTGATATTCCAATGAAAATATAACACGAAACGAATTATTACAATCTTAGAAATCATAATTTGAGAATACCACAATGTAAACCTTCTTTTTTTTTTTATATAAAACCTGTTTCCCGAATACAATAAAACTATGGAATAGTCTTCCTGTGCACGTGCAGTCACCGCCGTCTCTAAATACTTTTAAGTCTAATCTCATCAGTCAGTATCCTTTGCATAAAAAACCAAAGCTTCAACCAATCAAATTGCTTATCTCTGCTTAGCTAATCAGAAATCGCCCATCTTCGAACGTCATCAAGGCATTCACCTAGAGAGACAGGCGGACGGATCCATTTTGATATTCCCCTGTCTTCTTCGAAAGGAATCGGACAATTATAACAAGTGTACATACCACCTTCTTTGCGTTTAGCTTCCACTTGTATATCAGTTACCAACTTTTTACCAGTGTCTGTTTCTGGTTGGCTAGTACTGCTGGGCTTGATGTATTCATTACTTTCACTTGCTGGATCATCTTCAATATAAAATTACTAATCACAAAACATGCCTACCTATACATTTGTGGAACTTCAATCCGTTCATACGAGACATATTTCGGCTAAATGATATTACAAAATCAGAATAAAATAACAAGTGTGCATACCATCATCTTTAGGTTTATCTTCCACTTGTATATCAGTTACCATCGTTTCTCCAGTGTTGACTTCTGTTTGGCGAATACCACTGTCCTTGATGTATACATTGCTTTCACTTGCTGGATCATCTTCAACATAAAATTACCAAATCACAAAACATGACTACCCATACATTTGTAGCACACCCATCCGTTCATGCGAGAGCTATTTCGCCTTGGAAATGAAATGAAATGGGTTTAACATCCTACTGTTATGCTCCGATTGGGTTAATGAAGACGGGCATACACCATACAGTGAGCTATGAGGATACTTTTGTTCTTTTACGTCATGCCAAAATGTACATGGGACCTCAGTTTGTCATCCTAAGGGGGAAACACATCGGAAAATCCAAGTGAACTGTCTCGGCAAATGCAGGGATCGAACACGAGACGTAATTTCGCCTTAGAATCAGAGCTACCTCTCGGGACTATATTCCACCAAGCATTCTACTATTTGTGTAAATCCGGAGGGGGGGGGGGTCCACTTAACGATTGTTGTTTTATCAACATTTATATTTGAACGTTTATCAACATCGAATACATATTATGACAGTCCAGGCATTTTAACTCAATTTTGCACCATTTCGGGCAGTTGCTGCAATAGAAATGCCGACCACGTTTTATGGTCAGTCTAGACGTATATTATCACCCAAAAAAAAGTCCCAGTCCGAAATCCGTGCCCAAATGGGTCAAATTGGCAAAAATCCAAAATGGCCACCGGTTTTGACTGGAAAATGCCAGTTTTTATCCACTTACCATAATATGATTGATTCTGGTATCAAAATATATCCTTTCGAGGTAGCTGGATCCATTCCCACACACATTTTGGTGATTAGTTATACCGCGGGGTCAATATAGGGAAATAATTCCAGATGGCGGCCAGTTTTTGCGGGAAAATTCGAATTTTACTAAATTACCACATTTGGTGCCAATATATATATGTTTTGGAGGCAGCTGATCTCAGTTTCGACACATTTTTTCCATCTTGGTAATTAACTGGTTCCCCTGTGTCAAAATAATGGGACATCCCATTGGAGATTTGGGGATTACGAGTGGTCGAGTCTGCCTCAGATCTAATACGATGGCATTCATCAAGCATCAACTAAATTTCATTTAGACTCTCGGGTCGATCACTGCCCACTACGGAAGCAGCGTAGCAGGCATGACGAAAGGTGTCACTCTCAGCCCACAGTGGACGCAGTGTCGTGGGCGTGTCCGATTTCGATCACCAACCTCGAAAATTGAGCCAAGATAGCCAACACGTGGCGAATTTATTACAGAAAATGATTCAAATGTTGAGACACAGATGGATACAATATCGCCTGTTTGTCAGATATGCAGTGAACTGCCCATCGTCATTCCCAAAATGACGGAAAGATAACGGGTATTGGAAGCTGACAATAATGGCTTACGTTCAAAAATGAGCGGAGATACCAATTTCAATGGCAGAAAATTTAGGACAATAAAACTTGGTGCAAAGTCATGACTAAGTTCAACAATAAGCCAAGGGCGTTCTAGGGCCTCCGAGGGTAGGCAGACCAAAGTTAGGGCAATTTAGGAGGGGGGGTAGGATCGGGGACAATTTGAGTTCTGTGGCACATGGTAGAAGCGATTTGACGTATATGTTATGACATACCATACATTGACACTTGGTTAAGGGATTATGATTAAGTCACAAAGATCCGAACATGAACATAGTTAGCTGCAATCAAGAACTAAACGACTTGTGAGTAAAGAAAACAAGCATCAAAAGGGACTGGTATCCCTTACAAAGGGAGGTAGAATTGAAAGTAGACTGACAACCCCAAGGACGAGACGACGATCAAAATACACTTTAAGCCAGGCCAAGGAAGTTACTGGTGACAGATTAAATGTCATTCGTTGTGACGGTTTGCGTATTGGCCCTGAGTATGCTAACCGGCAATAATGGTTCCCGTTGCAGCAGAAAAAGTGGGCACAATATTCGATGGCACATTTTCGGAAGAGAGGGCACATAGCCACCCCCGCTCCCTTCCATTATACCTTGTTAGGAAATCTCATCGGATTCGAGCGTTATCAACCATTTCGAGTTTCTTTTGTTTTTAAATTTATGAGGGCAGGGTAGGCGGTAGGCGGTTGACTACGTGGCCAGCATGCCTCTGCAACTAGATTTTTTGCTTAGGTTACACAGAGTGAAGAACAATTTCTGTACTAGATGTTTTATAAATAAGTTAGATGTGCAAGTAATTAATAAGTGTCATCTATTTAGGGACACCAGCCTCAATGCTGATTTATTAAATACAACTAGATTAATTTTAAGTCGTCATTTGAACTGTCTTGGCTTGTCCAAAAATAGGCATTGCGAGTTCTACTGTTTACTGTTGTAACAGCGGTCACCGATTATATATGTTGTAATGGACCGTCTGCTAGTCTTTATTACAGAACATGAATTTTGGCACCGCGGACCCTCTAGACCTTGATATACAGACTCCTCCACTTCATTAACCTTAAAGATACATTATGGGAGATAAGATAAAGAGATGGCAGTTCTCGCTATAATAGTTAAAGACTAGATAGTGTAAAGGTAATTTGCTGAAAATTTCAGTCAAATTGATCCACTATGAGCCGAGAAAGAAGCGTGTGAAATTTTTGCATAGTCTCGGTCATCATTACTAAAATCATTAATATAAACAGCATAGTCTCGATTATCCGCTTTTTCTGATTTAATTATCAACGGCCGTTAGCTGCATATAGGAATCTAATCCAGCCAACATCGAAGGCTAGCCTTGACATCAAGAGTTTATTATGGTCTGGATAAGTTAATTAATGTCTAATTGATAAATCAGATAACATTTCAGGCCTAAAGAAAGACTTGTAATAAGCAGATTTTACTCTTGCATAATGCATGTTTAAAAAATTGACCAAAAATTATGGGTTGTTCATTGTTGAATGGTTCACTGCATATCTGAGCCACGTGCTTCAAAAGGCACGACCAGCTTCCGCAGTGACCCGAGAGTGACCCCAGTCGACATACCCCTATGCCGTTACCGCAGTGAACTGGGAGACACTCCAAATGAAATTTAGTTGATACTGGATGAAAGTCATTGTATTAGGTCTAAGGTAGGAGATCATTAATCTCCAATCCCTAATCGGAAATCTAAATCCCAAATTGGAATTTCTTCTATATTGACACAGGGAATCATTTAAGCACTAAAATATGTACAAAAATAGATTCAGCTACCTCGAAAACATATATTTTGACACCAAACTTGATCCTTATGTAAAATTCGAATTTTCCCGCCAAAACTGACCACCATCTTGAATAACCCCTAATATTGACTCAGTGGTAACACTTATCACAAAAATGTGTATGGAAATGGATTCAATTACCCCGAAAACTTATATGTTGATACCAAACTCAATCATATTGTGACAATTGGGTGGAAATTGGAATTTACAAGCCAAAAGCGGTGGCCATTTTGGATTTTGGCCAATTTGACCCATTTGGGCAGGGATTTCGGACTGGGACTTTTTTTTGGTCATAATATACGTTTAAACCAACCATAAACCGTGATCGGCATTTCTATTGCAGCAACTGCCCGCACTTTTGCTATCTTGCCTGGACTTATAAAGGTTCTAAAATCTATGATCACGAACAATAATCCACGAAGCCATTTAACCATATATTTTAAGTTTCAAAATTTATTTACAATTCAGACCACATTTTGTCCGTATAAGGTAATTTCGTGGTTGTAATGTGTATCCAGGGCATTATTATCTTTTGCCAAGAGTTCAGAAGACGATGTGGTTTTATTAGATATTGGTAGTTTAGAAATTAGTGTCAAATCTCCTCTGATGCACAGCTGCCTTTCATTCTACTTTCTACCCATCCAAATAACTGGAGTAAATTTCCTACAAAGTCTAGCATGTGTTATCCATGACATGTTAGAATTACATTAGAACACTTCTGGCAGTTCTGTCCTGCCAACGTCAAGGAGATAACAAAGTTAAGATTAGCTAGCCATAAATTGAGGATTGAAACTGGAAGATAAGAGTCACTATCGAGAGAAAATGGAATTTGTACACTTTGTGAAAATGATATAATCGAAGATGAATATAACTTTGTATTTGTATACCCATTCTTTGCTAAATTTAGATCAAAACTTATCAAGAAAAATATCGGTTATTTCAGTATGCCCTGTGGTTAGCTCGTGTTACAGTCTTATTTAACTATATGTACTAATCGTACTTATCCTAGATTGACCAGATTGGCCATTACGTTGAGTGGATCCATGAAGAGAAAAATATTTAAATGAATATCACTGGCAAACTAAAATAATGATATCAAATATAAGTTGTGCTATTTAACTTACCCGAATCTAACTGTTCAGCTACTGGTTTTCCTATCAGGTAATTGCCAGTATAGCCTTTGCCATCCCCAGTCCTGCCAGTCAATACTATATTTATATGTGAGCTATCATCAGTTCGTGGTATTGTACTTGGCTCTTCAGTGTCTGTGAATAGTGAATTATAGGCAGTATCATTGTTATCACAAGCATCGGGTGAGTAATTTGTTCGTGAGGACATTTCGCCTGCAATAAACAAAAATGAAATAGAGTTTAACATCCTACTGCTCTGCTCCGACTGGGCTAATAAAGACGGGCATACGCAAAACAGTGTGCTATGGGGGAACATTTTGCCCGGACAGTGTCACTACTCTTGTAAGGAATTTCAACTGCCAAGGATCTTTTGCGTACATGCCGGTGTGTACACAGGACCTCAGTTTTTCGTCCCATCCGAACGAATTGACAGCCGTCCCTGGCAAGGCACCTCCAGGTTAGGGAGCCAACATCCTACTCACTGAGCCACAGTGGCCCCCCCTGCAATAAACAAATTAAAAGAAACATACACATATATATTATACATGTAGATGCGGAGAACCAGGTAAATGCTAATGCCATTTATTTCTGTATAGCGAAACTTCTTGTCGAAATCCTCCATGTGGGTTACGGGAATTTGTAAAAACTCGACCGACAGAAAATATAACACGTAGGTCCAATAAGCTAATAAAGTTGTGCTATTTTACTTACTCGAGTCTACCTGTTCAGCTACTGCTCCATATCCTGATTTAATTAAACATTCAATGAATTTGGGATATGCATTTATACCACAAGTTCGAAGAACATCTAAAAATTGACGTATCATTGCTTTTGAACCGCTAGATTCTGCTCTTCTGATTTTGTCCAAGTCATCTTCATTTAGTACAGATATGTCATACAAACTATCTAATAGAGGTTCTAGAGGATCCAGATTCTCGGTTAAATACACATAGTTAGATAATATCCTACTGTCATCTTCAGGTAACATCTTCCCTTTCTCTCCTCTAGATATAACCCCTCTCCTCTTAGCATCGGGTAAGCTCTCTTGGTATTCGACTGTAACAATAAACACCCAAAAAATTATACCTGTGTCTATAATAATAATTTGTATGATTACCAATAATATTATAGCAACAACCTTTGTTTACAAGGCGTTAAAATAATGATGATCACCATTGACAAAGTTCAACTAATTATGTTTGCAGTGTAATGTCTACTGTCGAAAATGATCTTCTTACAAGAGATTATCGCTTATGATTTAAAGTCACATAATATAATACATTTCTGGAAGGTACCAGACAAAATACATAATTGCAATTCATTGCCATGTGATATATAATAAAGAAATCAAATGAGATCAGGTCACGGTACCGAGTAGAAAATAATATTTTCATCCTTTCATACCCGCACTGATTAACATACTGATGATGTACAATGTACCATGTTAATATCTTTCATGATGATGATGATGGTAAATAACGTACCGTGTTGATATGCTGACACGGTGGCTTCTTCCGTGGAAGTCTTTCCACATGGTAAACTCAACCTCTGCATCATATCCTCTCTTCGTTTTAGTTGCAGCTTCCGACGTTTTTGTTCCTCTTCCCGTTGTTGTTGTTCCTCTTCCCGTTGTTTGAAATGTCTAATTTGCTCTGCCATTTTGTTTCGTTCTATCTTAAGTGTATCTAACTCAGCCAATGCCTTTTCTTTAATTTCATTTTCGTCCCGGATTCTCGCTTCAAATACAATGCCAGATTGAGAATAAATTTAACTGGGCTACACCCCATCCAAATATCAAAATGGATTTAATGAAGACGGGCATACAGTGTGCTATGAGAGAAATCAATATGTCCCCGTTACCTCGGTTTTTCGTCCCAAGGGGACAACACGCCGAAAAAAATCCAGATGAACTTTCTAGGCCAATGCAGGGAACTAACACGGGACCCAATTTCGGCATAGAATCACAGCTACTCCCCGGGGTTATATTGCACCAAGCATTTCATGAAATATTAGATCAGCTAAATGATACATGCAAGATACGCCCACATTTTGCAAAAGAATTTATGTTTCTCAAAACTGACCATGGCGGAGGACCGTGAAGTCTGCTTTAGATCTGCCCATATCCCAATTTTTAATATCATACAAAGATTTTAAGTCATGTATAAATCAATTTATACCTGACCGCTGGCAATGGTCTTGGGATCTTGCAGACACACTCCTATAGGTCAAACAGAGGGATGGAGTTATTTTGTACATCGCTCTAGCATTGGTCATACTAGTTGAAGTCACATCTTCATCGTAGAGCGAGAGCCCAAAGCAAGATGGTGACCACTGTCATGCACATTTTGATTGGGTGCAAGCATCTCAAGTATACACGATCAAACTATTACTATTGTCAGTCTTTACAACATGTATTTGCCAACCAGGTCTATATTGTAAGACGCTAGAATTTTAAAAAGACATGAAATGAAATGGGATTTAACGCACTACTGTTCTGCTCCTACTAGGACAATGAAGACAGACATACGTCATGCAGCGTTCTATGAGGGCAATTGTTCCCTGACAGCGGGACTACGGCCTACTCTTATAACGTCCAATTCCAACTGTCAAGGGTTCTTTTACGTTCACGACAATGTGTATACGACAATGTGTATACGGGACCTTGGTTCTTCGTGCACTCCTAAGATTATGAAAGATATCGCACAAGCGATATCTACTGTAGAATGTATTATTGGGTGATAAAGTAAGTTGTTCACGGTAGTAATTTCACCAATACAAAGTGTGATCTTATAAAGCCCGCTAAGTAACAGATGCTTAATGGGAATGAGATGCAAAATTAGTAATGGCGCAAGACAACAAAATTTACAGTAAATGAACTGCCTAAGCAGGAATATATCATATTTTATATTAAGCTGACAACCTTTTGCAATACCGTCTACTACTCTATCCGGCGACTCTGGTTTAAACTGCCGTGGATCATATATCGGTATACTACAGTCTCTATCATCAGTCTGATGTACATCTAGAGGTTCTTGTTTTACCAGTAGTTTCCCATCTGTTGCTTGAATATCAACTGGCGAATAATCGGATTCATTTATCCCTACATCTGAAATATTGCGATACTAAATAAAAAAAAGACAGATGTAAACTAAATGGATATAAATACGTGATATTAGTTTAAGATGATAGAAATCAAAACAAACCACAAAACCTTACTGTTATAAGATCAGGTATGCTATTTGTCACTTAGATAAAGAATTGTAGAAATAATTCCATTAACGGGATTGTATTAAATCCAGATTGTGTAAACGGTTTCGTTTAAAGAATTATTCAAATTATTCAACTAACTTAACAGCAATTAGCCCACAAGAGAAGAGTGGACACCGGGTCGGCGCTGAACATTATAACTGTTTTACATCAAAATATTGAATATACAGTCGGCCAAGAAACACTACTGGTTATTAAATACTACAGTTTATCCTGGTTTACCTTGTCCATTATCATCATGTTCCAATTCTTCTTTAATTCTGTCTATAATAACATTTTGTTCATAAATACGGTCCAGTTCATCGCACAAAATACTGTTTCTCACTTTGGTCATTTGTAGATCTTCATTTCTTGTGTCCCTTTCCTCTTTTAGTCGGTCAAGTAGCTTTGTTTTCGTTCTCATTTCGGACTTAAATCGAACCAAGATATTGGTTTTTGTTTTTAAAGCTATCCTCCATGAGTTCAACGTCGTTTTTATCCTTCGGTTCTCTTTGGCAGATATGTGAAGGGCCCGTTCACTCTCCTGCTTTATTTGCTGAAGTCTTTTCTGTAAATGGAAATATTTTTTCTCAATCTGTAATTGTTTTCGTTCCATTTCAACGATTCCATCAATATCTGAAATTAAACAGAATAACGTTATGCTACATTTTCAGCAATTGAGTCCCGTCGCCCTTTTAATTTAAGATTGATGGGTGAATCCCTAAAGGGAAAATATTTAAATGAATATCACTGACAAACTAAAATAATGGTATCGAATATAAGTTGTGGTATTTTACTTACCCGATGTTAATTGTTCGACTACTGCTCTATATCCTGATTTAGTTAAACAATCAATGAATTTAGGATATGCATTTATACCACAAGTTCGAAGAACATCTAACAATTGACGTATCATTGCTTTTGTACCGCTAGATTCTACTCTTCTGATTATTTCCAAGTCATTCTCATTTAGTACTTGTTTTTCATACAAACTATCTAATAGAGGTTCTAGAGGATCCAGATTCTCGGTTAAATACACATAGTTAGATAATATCCTACTGTCATCTTCAGGTAACATCTTCCCTTTCTCTCCTCTAGATATAACCCCTCTCCTCTTAGCATCGGGTAAGCTCTCTTGGTATTCGACTGTAACAATAAACACCCAAAAAATTATACCTGTGTCTATAATAATAATTTGTATGATTACCAATAATATTATAGCAACAACCTTTGTTTACAAGGCGTTAAAATAATGATGATCACCATTGACAAAGTTCAACTAATTATGTTTGCAGTGTAATGTCTACTGTCGAAAATGATCTTCTTACAAGAGATTATCGCTTATGATTCAAAGTCACATAATATAATACATTTCTGGAAGGTACCAGACAAAATACATAATTGCAATTCATTGCCATGTGATATATAATAAAGAAATCAAATGAGATCAGGTCACGGTACCGAGTAGAAAATAATATTTTCATCCTTTCATACCCGCACTGATTAACATACTGATGATGTACAATGTACCATGTTAATATCTTTCATGATGATGATGATGGTAAATAACGTACCGTGTTGATATGCTGACACGGTGGCTTGTTCCGTGGAAGTCTTTCCACATGGTAAACTCAACCTCTGCATCATATCCTCTCTTCGTTTTAGTTGCAGCTCCCAACGTTTTTGTTCCTCTTCCATTTTGTTTCGTTCTATCTTAAGTGTATCTAACTCAGCCAATGCCTTTTCTTTAATTTCATTTTCGTCCCGGATTCTCGCTTCAAATAATTTCTTCGCCTCTTCGAGTATTTCGTTTTTATAGAAGTTTCCACCATTATTCTGTATAGTTGTCTGAAGTAATTTTAAGATTCTCTCAACATCCTTCGTCTTGCCTTCTGTTTTATCTTTGTTATTGATCGTTGCGAATCGACGGTGTTTAAAAACATCACTAAATGTTGACAGCTGAGTATGCAATTCACGTATAGCATCCTCTTCACTTTGATCAACCAGTTGATCTTTCCCAGTAAACACCACAACGGTAAATTTATCAATTAATTCACCGAAACTATTTTTAAAATATTCAAGAACTTTTATATCTTCTTCTGAGAGTCTGTAGTCAATTCTTAAAACAAATATAAATAAATGTGGCCCTGGCGATAAAAGATTAATACATTTAACTATTTTCTCAGCTACTCTACCCGTGTCAAACAAACCTGGTGTATCCACTACTTTTAGTATGGTATCTACATCATCTAATTGAAGATGTCGTTGTAATGAAACACATTCTGAAGTTACTGAAGTAGTCTGTTGTAGTGATTTAAAGGTATCTTGTTGTAACAGCGCATTTCTTAATGCGCTCTTGCCAACCCCTGTCATTCCAATAATGCATACTCGAAGTTCTGTAAATGAAAAAAAAACAACAAAACATTAGACAACTGGAGACGTCCAAGGTTTTAAAAGTACAATAGCGCATAACTACAATGCCAGATTGAGAATAAATTTAACTGGGCTACACCCCATCCAAATATCAAAATGCATTTAATGAAGACGGGCATACAGTGTGCTATGAGAGAAATCAATATGTCCCCGTTACCTCGGTTTTTCGTCCCAAGGGGACAACACGCCGAAAAAAATCCAGATGAACTTTCTAGGCCAATGCAGGGAACTAACACGGGACCCAATTTCGGCATAGAATCACAGCTACTCCCCGGGGTTATATTGCACCAAGCATGTCATGAAATATTAGATCAGCTAAATGATACATGCAAGATACGCCCACATTTTGCAAAAGAATTTATGTTTCTCAAAACTGACCATGGCGGAGGACCGTGAAGTCTGCTTTAGATCTGCCCATATCCCAATTTTTAATATCATACAAAGATTTTAAGTCATGTATAAATCAATTTATACCTGACCGCTGGCAACGGTCTTGGGATCTTGCAGACACACTCCTATAGGTCAAACAGAGGGATGGAGTTATTTTGTACATCGCTCTAGCATTGGTCATACTAGTTGCAGTCACATCTTCATCGTAGAGCGAGAGCCCACAGCAAGATGGTGACCACTGTCATGCACATTTTGATTGGGTGCAAGCATCTCAAGTATACACGATCAAACTATTACTATTGTCAGTCTTTACAACATGTATTTGCCAACCAGGTCTATATTGTAAGACGCTAGAATTTTAAAAAGACATGAAATGAAATGGGATTTAACGCACTACTGTTCTGCTCCTACTAGGACAATGAAGACAGACATACGTCATGCAGCGTTCTATGAGGGCAATTGTTCCCTGACAGCGGGACTACGGCCTACTCTTATAACGTCCAATTCCAACTGTCAAGGGTTCTTTTACGTTCACGACAATGTGTATACGGGACCTTGGTTCTTCGTGCACTCGATATCTACTGTAGAATGTATTATTGGGTGATAAAGTAAGTTGTTCACGGTAGTCATTTCACCAATACAAAGTGTGATCTTATAAAGCCCGCTAAGTAACAGATGCTTAATGGGAATCAGATGCAAAATTAGTAATGGCGCAAGACAACAAAATTTACAGTAAATGAACTGCCTAAGCAGGAATATATCATATTTTATATTAAGCTGACAACCTTTTGCAATACCGTCTACTACTCTATCCGGTGACTCTGGTTTAAACTGCCGTGGATCATATATCGGTATACTACAGTCTCTATCATCAGTCTGATGTACATCTAGAGGTTCTTGTTTTACCAGTAGTTTCCCATCTGTTGCTTGAATATCAACTGGCGAATAATCGGATTCATTTATCCCTACATCTGAAATATTGCGATACTAAATAAAAAAAGACAGATGTAAACTAAATGGATATAAATACGTGATATTAGTTTAAGATGATTGAAATCAAAACAAACCACAAAACCTTACTGTTATAAGATCAGGTATGCTATTTGTCACTTAGATAAAGAATTGTAGAAATAATTCCATTAACGGGATTGTATTAAATTCAGATAGTGTAAACGGTTTCGTTTAAAGAATTATTCAAATTATTCAACTAACTTAACAGCAATTAGCCCACAAGAGAAGAGTGGACACCGGGTCGGCGCTGAACATTATAACTGTTTTACATCAAAATATTAAATATATACAGTCGGCCAAGAACCACTACTGGTTATTAAATACTACAGTTTATCCTGGTTTACCTTGTCCATTATCATCATGTTCCAATTCTTCTTTAATTCTGTCTATAATAACATTTTGTTCATCAATATCACTGACAAACTAAAATAATGGTATCGAATATAAGTTGTGGTATTTTACTTACCCGATGTTAATTGTTCGACTACTGCTCTATATTCTGATTTAGTTAAACAATCAATGAATTTAGGATATGCATTTATACCACAAGTTCGAAGAACATCTAACAATTGACGTATCATTGCTTTTGTACCGCTAGATTCTACTCTTCTGATTATTTCCAAGTCATTCTCATTTAGTACTTGTTTTTCATACAAACTATCTAATAGAGGTTCTAGAGGATTCAGATTCTCGGTTAAATACACATAGTTAGATATTATCCTACTTTCATCTTCAGGTGACATCTTCCCTTTCTCTCTTCTAGATATAACCACTCTGCTCTTAGCATCGGGTGAACTCTCTCGGTATTCTACTGATAAAATAAACACCACAAAATTATACCTGTGTCTATAATAATAATTTGTATGATTACCAATAATATTATAGCAACAACTTTTGTTTACAAGACGTTAAAATAATGATGATCACCATTGACAAAGTTCAACTAATTATGGTTGCAGAGATTATCAGCCGTTAAAATGACGGTCACCATTGACAATCGTTTAATAATGATGTTCTTACAAGAGAAAATAGCTGATGCTTCAAAGTCATATAATAAAGAAATACATTTCTGGAAAGCATCAAGCAAAATCTATAATTACAATTCATTTACTCTAGGACTTGATTACTATATTTAACATCGTTTTATATACATAGACCGTAGAGAAAGAGAGAGAGAGAGGGGGGGGGTAACAAAATAGTTCATTTCGGGACTACATATGGTTCAATTTTATTTCAATAATCCACTTGCGCGTAGGGATCATTTGCAGTGGGAGGACACGGAGAAAACCCACGAAATTGGACAGGCGACCCTACTCCTTGTCACTTACAACCGAGGAATGGAAACCACGCCGGTTGACTCAATGACAGACCTTATGATACATCGCCCACGTGCTAACCATTCGGCCATCCAACCCGATCACTTACTTACTTCACTGTGATGACAACCATATAAAAGAAAGAGAGAGAAGAGAGGTTTAACGTCCACACGACACAAACTAGGTCATTTCGGGACTAACATATAGTTTAATTTTATTTCAATAATTCGAAACCACGCCAGTTGACTCAATGACAGGCTTTATGATACAACACGCACGTGCTAACCATTCGGCTATCCAACCCACCAAAACATATAAAAAAATGAATGAAAAATTAATGTGATAAACATGGTCAGGTCAACGTGTCGAGTAGAAAATACTATTTTCATAATTCCATGCCGGCATTGATTATTAAGTTTTAAAATATGAGTATTTTGAGTATATTGCCACTTTGTAAAGTGCCCTCAACACTGATGTGAATGGGCACACTATATACTGTAGGATATTTAACATAGACACTAATTGGTTCTCATACAAAACACAATATTTTTAATCTAAGATCTAGATTGGCAATCAGAGTTTACCTAGGAAAAAATATCAGAGGAGAGAAAGTGAGAGAAATGGGATTGAACACCCACTCGACACAAACTTTTGTCATTTTGGGTCTAAAATATGGTTCAGTATGTTTTTAATAGTTCGCGTGCACGTGCAAAGCGGAGGACTCAGAGAAACACACGAGGGTGGACAGAGGACCCTACTCATTATCACGTACGAGAGGGGGATCTAAACCACGCCACTTGATATAATGGCAGACCTTATGGCCTAACGCACACAGAGAACGAATTCAGATGGGCTGTTAAGTTATTTTAAAAGTTGCAAAGTCAAGTAGTTAACGGAATGTTACAGATGGCTTGTTAACATAGCACTATAGAAATAAACGATTCTCTCGGGTTCTTGTTATAGTGTTGCAGTATGTGATAAGCACGGGAAAAACTTTAAACCCAATACACTTTTTGAAATAATTGTCGCACGCCAATGTGTAAACAGGACCTCGGTTTGTCGTCCCCTGTCCTGCACTTTGTCGGTCAACACAAGGATCGAACACGGGTATGTCAATTCCTAGTAATTCCGGTATATTTTTTTCGTAATCGGGTAACTGCTTCTACAAATTATTGACAGAACCTAATATTCCATCACATTATCAACCAATACAAAATAAAAGTCAAAATATTATTTTGCGGTAGCATCTAAAGCACCCACAGTTGTAACAAATAACGGATTTCTTCGATTATGAACAAACTACTTGACTTTATTATTATAAACTCACCTGTGTGTTTGAAATTACCTCCGGTTAAATAAAATCCATTGTACAACTAAATATCCCAGCGAATAAAAAAGTTATCTCTTGTAAAATTGAACTCACAAACTAGACATCGAAAAATACAAAAATGGAAGCTAATTACGTCACTTATCGGGACAGATCATTTCATATAAGGGGGTCTAAGCAAGGCTTGTCTATCGGAACGGCGTTTGGCTCTTTTACGACAATAAGCTATTGCTCTCGGACCCAGTAATGAGTTTGGGCGTTTACAAACATAAATACGCCCGTAGTCTGTTATTTTGTTTCCGTCTTGTATTAATTATTTGGTTAGAGAGTTGGGTGAGATTATTTCTTTTGAACACAGGTGCAGAACAAAAAGAACGACATTCGTTTAATATACTATTCAAAAAAAGTAGGGGATAATTGATTTTGGGGGCATAATACTAAAATATGCAAATGACTACGAAAAAAGTCACTATAGAACCTAACAGAAGAAACATTTCCAGTTACATGTGACGCCCAAACGCACCAATAGCTACCGCATGGAATGCAGGTGATGCTTGGGATCATCATGGGGTCCAACCCAAGATTTGCACGACTCTGACTTTGAATGTTACAGTCATTGTGGCATTGAATTCCAGGGTGGAAACATCAGTTTAATTGTTTTAGTGACCAGAAAACAAATTTTGATATGCGTCGGCTTACCCAAAATGAAAGGTTACGTGCCCTTGCCATGCTACAGATCGGCACAACACAGGCGGTTGTGGCGCGGACGATGAATGTTTCTCAGTCTGTCATAAGGAGGCTATGGTCCAGATACCGTGATACACAATCTGTACAGGACAGACCACGCTCAGGTCGACCAAGGGCGACAACTCAAGCCCAGGATCGATTTATCCGTACCTTGGTCTTGAGAAATCGTGTCATCACAGCAAATCAGATCAGCGCTCGTCTTCAAACAGACACTGGTGTGAGAGTGAGTGGCCAGACGATTCGGAATCGACTGCATAGGGGTCACCTTCGCGCCCGACGTCCTCGCGTGATGAGAGATCATCACATTCAGGCAAGACGTCGTTGGTGTAGGGATCGTCAACACTGGGATAATCGACGCTGGAGCAATGTGATGTTTTCAGATGAGTCAAGGTTCACTGTTGATTTTTTGGACAGACGTAGGAGGGTGTGGCGTCGTCGAAACGAGCGCTTCCAAGACGTTAACGTCATCAGACATGATCGATTTGGGGGTGGTTCTGTTATGGTGTGGGGAGGCATCACTGTTGCTGGAAGAACGGCTTTACATGTTGTTGCAGGGCGTGTTACAGGCCAGTACTACCGGGACAACATCTTGGCAGTCCATGTTGTGCCGTTCGCACGACGTCATGGCCGCCGTTTCATCTTCCAGGATGACAACGCAAGATGTCACAGGGCCAGGATCGTTACAGGTTACCTCCAACAACAGAACATCACCACATTACCTTGGCCAGCACTGAGTCCCGACCTCTCCCCCATCGAGCATGTCTGGGACATGCTTGGAGAGAGGTTACGTCAACGTCAACAACGTCCTGCCAATGTCCAAGAACTTGCTGCTGCGTTGCAACAGGAATGGGACAATCTGGACCAAAATGACCTTAGACGTCTCATTAGGAGTATGCCACGTCGGATCAATGCTTGTTTGGCAAACAGAGGAGGATTTACCCGTTACTGACTTGGTTGTGATGCTGTGGTAACTTTGCTGTTTGACCCCGGGTATCATTTTACCCTTATAATGGTCAGTCTGTGCCTTACTTAGTCTAACGATCATTTGGAATAAATCGATGAATGTGAACTTCATTTCATTTTGTCATTTGTTTCTTCGTCAGTTTCATTAGGTGACTTTAATAACACTTAAAAATCAAATATCCCCTACTTTTTTTGAATAGTATATTTCCTGATGAACTTAAGCAGCCCTGTCAATAAACCTCGGCAATCTGCTGTAGCCGGGGTAAATCCGTAGATGCCGATGTATTTTACATTTGCCTCGGCAGAACTAATAGCCGAGGCCATTGAATCATTGAATAGGTATATATAATGTTATTATTCTTTTTATATAAATATCAAAAATTATTATCAACAACAAATCACAAATCATACCGCACACCGGTTTTATTAACGGCAGATAGTTCCATGTCTTTCTATTTCTCTTAGAATATTATTTCCGTTGTGCAAAAACTGTTAAGAATTTTGCGTCTCGGTAACACAATTTTCGAAAATCCCGGCTTCGTTTTGAAATTCACAGGGCAATGTATCTACGCGATTGTACTCTCAGTTATTAACTATAGGCCTATATTAAGTAATAGTTATATACCTTGTTTTCACCGAGAAAACAAGGTATATAACTGACTTATACTAAATACTTTTTCGAGAAATAGAGATTTTTTCTATTTTTCCCAATTTCAAAAGCATTTTTCATTTCACAAATTTATCAAAGTTTCCCATTTAGAGCCCCCAATTATCTCATCGCAAACGCTTATTTCTACTCAGGTAAATGATGTCAGTACACCGCACGTGCATTTCACGGTTTAAACAGGTCAGGGAAAATGTTCATAACAGGGATATTGATTGGTTGAGAAAAGCAAACGTCATCCAATCATTTTGTACAATAGCCATTTCTTCTTGTTTTGCCAACATCCTGGCTGCGTCGATTGTAGTGGATGGCAGAAATGAATGCGGGATTTCGTCGAAGAATCCTACTTTATAATGTCACAGATATGTATTTCTAAGACCGA